CTCAGGCCGCCCCAGGCGAGCCCCCGCCCCGCAATCGCCCGAAGGCCGAAAAGTTCATAAGGGGACCCTTATGATCTTTTCCGGAAAATTTTTCTGCCTGCGGCGCTTTTTATGGCTGTTCGCAAGTCGGTTTTTAGTGTTAGAAACACCATTTTTCGAAAATTTTTGCCTGCGGCGCTTATTTTTTCATTCATTGAATCGCAATTTCGGTTCAAAAGTGGATTTTTTGCCGCGATTTGGCTCAATCCCAGGGTTTTCTTAACCAATTTTGCAAAAATTTCGCCTGCGGCGCTGTTTTTAGAGTCTTTACACCGTTTCTCCGCCATTTTGCAAAAGCGTCGAAGGGGGAGGTCGTCAAAAATTTTTTTCGGTCCTGCCCCCCCCGAAATTTCGGCCCAGGTACGGCCCTGTGAGGCCATTCCGACCAAACCATTCCTTACACCGACCAATTTGTAAGCCGCTTCCGGCCGGAAGCGTCTGGTTCGAGACCCGGCTCACGTTCTCCACCCCCGTCAATCTTCGGCCATAGAACACCGTAAGGCTGAACTAATCGTGCCGGTATCTGTCTAGTGGAGGGGATAAAAGTTAGGAAATTTGAGTAGATCGCTGGTGTTGATCCGGGGATCGGCTAATCCAATCCGGAAACCCCCCGGGCCCCTGTATCCGCCTCGGCGGGTCGGCAGGAAAAACGGCAGTGGGGTTGGTAGTGTGGTTTTTCTGGTCTCCGGTCTCCGGACGTGGGTTGACAAAAAACTGTTCATCATCTATCTGTTAGTCGATGGTTGTGCAATTGAGCAATTGATTTTTGGCATGCACCGGATTTTTGAAAAGCGGAAGACTTGGGCTTGAACTAGGCTTAGCAGCTTAACAGCCATATTTGCCCATTTGTGTGAGTCCCCGCTATACGTTTGCGTGTTGCGCTTTTTCGGGTTTCGTTAGCCAAATGCCGTGCGGCGCCACGAATCAATATATGCGCCCAGGCATAATGAGCCTTAGGCAGTCGCCTAAACTGACCCCACCCAAAAAAATTTGGCTTGAAAAATGTGGCGTTTAGTGGAATGTTGGCAATTGGCTTAAAACTGTTGTATTGGCTCCCGTACGCTTGCTTCCCGAAAATTTGTAGGGTTAGCAAAGCTGCCTTTATGGAGGCTAAACCCCGGTTGACCTCACGAATCGATTCGGCTCGGGTCGCCGAGAGGTTACAGGAGCGCTAAAGGGACGTTTTTTGGCAAAAAGCAAAGATTTTTGCCGCTGCCGGGGGTCGAACCCGGGCCCCCCGCTCGGGAGGCGCGGATGCATACCAGTCAGCCACAGCTACAACCTAGCGAGGGGACTAGGGGCACCCCACGCCGCAATGGAGGGGAACGGCCTGTCACAGCACCGGCAGGCGGTGCGCGCGGTCCCTACGTCCATAGGGTGTACACGTTGGGACGAGCACACGGCCCCTCCCTGAACGTGCGCTTTAAAGGGTATCAAAATGTCCGCCCAGCTCAGGCGAGCATTTTGGTATTGACTACAATCCTGTAGGTCGATGGGGAGCCGAGATATGAAGGTTTGAATCTGTTGCTTGGGGGCAGGGCCGTACCTGGGCCGAAATTTCGGGGGGGGCAGGACCGAAAAAAATTTTTGACGACCTCCCCCTTCGACGCTTTTGCAAAATGGCGGAGAAACGGTGTAAAGACTCTAAAAACAGCGCCGCAGGCGAAATTTTTGCAAAATTGGTTAAGAAAACCCTGGGATTGAGCCAAATCGCGGCAAAAAATCCACTTTTGAACCGAAATTGCGATTCAATGAATGAAAAAATAAGCGCCGCAGGCAAAAATTTTCGAAAAATGGTGTTTCTAACACTAAAAACCGACTTGCGAACAGCCATAAAAAGCGCCGCAGGCAGAAAAATTTTCCGGAAAAAGATCATAAGGGTCCCCCTTATGAACTTTTCGGCCTTCGGGCGATTGCGGGGCGGGGGGGGGGCTCGCCTGGGGCGGCCTGAGAGCGCCCCAGGCAACAAACTTAGCGAAAATTGCGATAAATTTACTGAAAAACAGCGCCGCAGGCTGAAATTTTTGAAAAACGGTGCCTATAGGATAAAAAAATGGTGTTAAAGAGCGAGGAAAAAGGCGCCGCAGGCAGAAAATTTTTTGAAAAAAACTGTTTATATTATAAAAATAAATAGCGTTTAAAAGGCCGTTTGCGAGCCACCCGAACAAGGCTTAGCACAGTTTTTTTTCGAAATTTTTTGCGAAAAAAATCTAAAGGGCCTTATGCGCTTTCCGGACTCGGTCGATTTTGGGTGGAGGTCTATTTCTCCTCACTCTTTATTCTTGTCGAGGGTGCCGTGATCAGGCAAGCCCTCTGCCGCGCTAAGATACCGTTAGTAACCGGAATAAAATGCTTTAGCAATGCGGGTTTTCTGCTTTACCTCGCCCTGTATTCTCCCTACTCTGGGCTTTCTATCGCTATATCAATCATCCCGATTCGTTACTTCTCCATGGAGTTACCGCCGTATCATTATTGCCTATTTTGGGCCTTTCCTCCAAATATTAGCCCATTAATGGTGCCAAAATAATCTCCTAACAACACCCAACGCCATCTGCCACCCTAACATTAGTGCCAAAAAAATGCGGGAAAATTCAAACTTCTAGATTACCTGCCCCCTCCATGGGGGCAGCAAAATAGGCGAAAAAAAAAACATAAGGGTACTACCTTATGTACTTTTCGCCCCCCCGAGGATTTCGGGGGGGGCAGGCTGCCCCCCCTGCCCCCCCCCTCGTACGGGCCTGCTTGGGGGGAGGGTACCTGGAGTTGTTGCCACCAGGGTTTTTGAGCTCCGGATCCCCCTTAAATTTTGCGCGATACGCAATGCTTGCTGCTAGCCGCGGTAAACGTCTCGTTCGATTACGCAATCTAAATGCAAGCTGACGCGTCGATCAACCCATTATAGCATCAAATTTAACGAGGCTCTTTTACGACTCTCTAAAAACTTAAAGGCCCAAAATTCGCAACATATGAGAAAAATCATCCCATTATAAAGTATCTTCGCTACCTAGTAAAAAAAATCCAGGATATTTCACGAATTTCACAGCACCCAAAGCGAACCGTGTCATCGTCATCTGTCACACCGTAGCCAGAAAATTTGTAGCCTAGCCGCGACCGGCTCACCCTTATTTTGGAAACCGTCAGAATCCGCCTAATGGATGATTGCAAATTTCCCGAAAATGGAAGAGGAAAACTAGCGATTTTGGTACAGTATTCCGGGATGAGCGCGGCTTATCGGAGGGGCGTGTCGCCACGTACGCTACACAGGCTTTTGACACCGGGTAAGGGACGAGAATTTCGAGACGAACTGGGGAGAATATGCATATCTCTCGTTGTGGTGCGGGGGCCGTGGTGGCCGAAATGGCCGGGCTGGGGGCTCTAATGAGAATTTCCTCTCGACCACAACCACCGCCCGGCTGGCCAACCCGGCCTGGCCACCACTCCATATTTCCGAACCCATCCGGTGTACATAGTAGTCGGTCGGAATTTGGGGGGATGGTCAAGTTTTGAAAGTTTTGAAAGTAGTCCATAAAACCAAGTGGTTTTTAAAACCGTATTTCAGTTAAGCGGTATTTGGTATTTCGCGCATTTCCCGGTGCTTCAATAATTTCTAAATTCACGCAATTTTGGATCTAGTTTCGAAATTTTTCCATCTTTGCAAACTTTCTCTCTTTCTTTCTCTCCCCCTCCCTCTATCTATTTCGGTTTTTAAAGGATTTTTTTGTTAATTTGGAAATAATACGTACATTTTCTAAACCGAAATCCTGCGCTATTTTCCATTTTTAATATTAAAAAATATTACGCTTTTACTCCCTCCATTTTCTGTTTTCATACGTTAAGAAAACGGCAAAATTTTCATGCTCAGTATTCAGGTTTTTTCTGGCCTTCTCTCTGGCACACCCTTTTATCGCGGATTTGAATGTTTTTCGATTCAATGTCTCTTCTTCGATACAATTTCCGAGTCCCAATTGAATTCCAATTGCCCTAAAACTTATTGTTTGCCGTCCGAATCAGGAAAATCGGCCTGAAAAGACCGGGGGAAAAAAGCCGCTGATTATCCCCCGGGACCGCCCCCGTCCCTGAAGCCACTGGCCCAAATTTGAATGGCAGATTACGGTAGCGCCTAAGGCCCCCAAAAATCAAGGGGTTGACCCGGAGATTTTGGATTGCGGATTTATGATTCTGTTTGTTTTATGGGTCGTCGTTGGATTTTCGTTTTATCTGCTCACTAAAAAGTGGGGGTCTAGCCGCGAACGGGCGAAAGCTTATTGGGGTAAAAGAAATTCCTCTGGTTCGGGCTACAGTATCTGGGACCACATTGTTTATCCTGGCTACGAAAAGCCGATCAAAAAGGGAATTTATGGTTTTTCAAAAGGTTCCGCGTAGATTTTTCCGGGTTACGAAACGCAACCCGTGTTCCGATCAACGATTGCGAAAGCCGGAATCAACTGCGAAATGTTACGCGCGCGTGCGTGTTGTGTGTCGCGGCGTGGAAAACAGTTCTAAAAAAAGTTCTCATCTCACTTTTCATCGACTGTCTTTTCAAAATCATTTCCCGTTAAAAAATTCGTCGATCCCCCCCACAGATCCACCCCTAAAACGTGCCCTTTCTCGTCAACCTGCAAATAATGGTGACTTTGGCTGGCCACTCCTCTATTTGCAACCCCCCCCTACCGTATCCCTGGCTGGAAAAAGGTTTCTCCCCCTCCATCCGCTTTCCAAATCACCAAGCGTATAATGTGCTTTACCACGCGTACGGCTTCCTAATCCTGTAATATGTTTTTCGCGGGCCAGTCGGGCCAGCTAGCCAACTAGTCAATTTTTGCCGTTTCTTCAAAGATCCTAAAGGTTCCTCGATAGGGTGAAGCCTTTGAGTTCCAATATTTTTTCACTTTTTAATATTACATCGTTAATTGGGTTTTAATAACGACCAATATCCGTCTTTCCAGCCGGTCTCCGATGGAATGGATGAGAGACCGCCGAGGGTGCCGGTGACGACTGCCAGGTGGGCTAAGCTTTTGAGTCTTTCTTTTCTAGACGTAGCAAGAACTAGCTAGGATTATCTTGGACTTAATTCTCCGGAACGGCGACACGCAACTCACACCTGGGGCTTTTCATTTTGTAATCGAGTGCTACAGTCTGCCAGTTCTGTGACCGCGCGTGCGTTGCGTGTCGCCTGCGTTTTGTATCGATAGCGTGGTCTTACTGATGATTGTTTCAATAAGCCCGCGGCACGCAACGCGCACCTGAGGTCACTTGCGTTGCATCTCTCGGGTGAAGCAAAATCCAGGCTGCCAACGATCTAGAGATGGGCACCGCGACACACGAAGTGCTCTCAAGCCTTCCATGAAAATGAATTGCAGTGTATTTGCAGCACTACCAGGTGCAGCGTCGTGTGTCGCGTAATTTTTGATTTTTACTCATTTTATGCGATAAAACTAAAGACTAGCTTCTTTTTCGATCCGTTTTCCGTGTTCAAGGGGCCGGGAAGCCAAAAAAATTCCGTGAAAAATTTAAGGCAATCCCTTAAAGCCATCGCACCAAACGAAGTTAGATAACTCAGAATTTGAAAAATTCCCAGAGAAAAATTGCTAATTTACTTTTTTCGATCTACATATTAAACCTCCAATTTCTGAAGAACAAACCTAAGATCAGCTATATTTTTGGCGCCGTGTTCCCTGCGAGATTTGCATTATTTGGTCTCTGCCCCTGCGGGAGGAGGGGCTTATCCGAGCAAGTTTGACGATCCGCCGTCAGAGTCTAGGGGGTACTGTAGATTTGGGAGGATGAGAATTCCGCGAACGGTAGCTGGTGGGCGTGATTTTTTCGAGAGCAGTGTTTGAGACCCGTTTTTGTCCCCATTTTTCAATTCATGATTTTTCAGTGAAGCCACGGCGACGCTGACCCCGGAAGCTATGATGCTCCGGATTCAGGACAGCCTGGCCGGCCAGCTGGACATCAGCCAGATTTGGGCCCAAATTCTGGCTGGCGCGCAGCATCCACTTGCTCAACCAGTTCAGCACGCCTTGCCGCAAGCCCTGCAATTGGTATTCTGGCTATCTAAAATTCTTTGAATCGTTTTTAGCCAGCTCAAACGACTCTACCAAATGACGGGGCGGACATGTTGGTCTTGTTGCAGCAGCAGATGAACACGGCGCAGCAACAATTAGGTTAGTCTCGGCGTGAGAGAGAGAGAGGAGAGAGAGAGAGAGAGATAGCGAGAACGAGAGAGAGCGAGAGAGCGACAGAGCGAGAGAGCGAGAGAGCGAGAGAGTGAGAGAGAGCGAGAGAACTTCTAGCTTATTTCAGGATATTCTCCCTACTTTTCAGCCGCTCTTGCCGCTTTCCCCACCTACAATCCCACAACCCCGGATTCCGTTCTGCCGCCCTCGACGTCAAAGATAAATGTAATCTTTGGTTTTTGAAATTCACCTTTTTTTAGGACTCATCCGCCGGAACCACTGAATCCCCATCCACCTCCCGGCCAGCATCCCAACCGCAACGAGGCCAGAAGCGGAAACTCTTCGAGAGCCATGGGGTCGGTTATTTTGAACTTATTTTGAAGTTATTTCTTTTTTCTCTAGCCATTTTATCGAAATTTTGTCTCTGCCAATTTGCATACAAAAATTTTTCCTCGATAATTATTTTGCTTTGACAAAATTGGCTCTGTTTTGGAGCGTGCATTTTTGGCTGAAATTTTCTCTCTCTCTCTCTCTCTCTCTCTCTCTCTCTCTCTCTCTCTCCCTCTCTCTCCCTCTCTCTCTCTGTCTCTCTAGTGTTTTCTCTCTCTCTTTCTCACTAGTTTCTCGCTTTCACGTCACTTTTTCTCTTTATTAACAATTTTTCCGTATTTTCTTTGGATTAGAAGTATCGCTATCATTCCTTATTTTGACCGATCGCTGATTTCTAGAATTTTCCCCTCGATTCCATGCTAATTCTCGTTATACAGCAGAATTTTTCGTTATTGCAATTCCGCGCCGTAGGCCATTTTTCAATCCCAAATGCAGGAATGGGCCCCCGAGCCCGTCCGCCTCAAAAATTCGCATGCAAAAGCGGGAGAGTAGCCCCCAATGGAGAGGCAATAGAGGGCCCATGCCTTGGGCAGCTAGGACATCGATTCCTTCCCCCCCCTTTCGCCTTGCCTTCTCTCATGCAAATGCGGGCAGACGGGGGGCCCTTGCCTACGGGCCATCGGCCACTAGGCGCACCCGCATACCCATACCCTCTTTTAGTAAATTGTCCGTGGGAATTATGGCGTGGACTCTTGCACAGTGTATATTTTTTAAATCCCTTACTTTTCTCGTTTACTACATAATTTGAGATCTTATTGCCCTTTTGCCTCTGATTTTCGAGCTCCTTCTCAATTTTCTCATTATTTCGAGCTCTGTATAATTTTTAGTTTACTTGTTTAGGTTTTTGCGTTTAATTTTTAGTTTAAGCTTTTTGCTCTTAAATCCACCATTGCGTGCTGCTGCACACCCGCTTCTATGACTACGATTTTCCTGTACTAAACTGTTTGGACAACCTATTGGTGTTGATGTGTCCTTACATTTATTCATCGTATCCTTAAGGTTTTCGGCAGCTTTTGATACTTATTCCACACTGCTTTTTAATTTTTGACTGAGAGACCTGACAAGGAGTGATTTTTTGAGTCATCGGCAAAACCTTCCGGACTTAGCTCATTCGATAGAGAATTCGATTCTGAACAAGACCCCGTTGTTCTTTTTTGCGGAATGGCTATCCCTGATTTTATAAAATTTTGAAACTGCACCCAAAAGCCTGTCTTTTGCTCGAAAGGCACTAATCGGAAGAGACGGCAACTAGTATTTTATTTTTATAAAATCAGAGATAGCCATTCCGCAAAAAAGGGCAACGGAGTCTTGCTCAGAATTTAATTCGTTATCAAATGAGCTAAATCTCGTCAGGTTTTGTAGATGACTCAAAAATGCACTCCTTGTTAGCCGTTGATTTTAGCAGTAGATTGTAAGTGATTTTCTTATTTTTTTCGCCATTTTGGCAATAATTTTTGCCTACCCGATGATTTATTTATCACAAATTTTAAGGTATCTGAGCCCGCTTTTTTCTTTCTGTATCGAATTCAGTTTTTCTATAATGCATTATGAGGCTTTTTAGCTAATTTGGAGCTACAATTCAAGAATTTTCACGAAAAAGCTAATGTTTGTGTAATTTCCTACTCCTCTTCCATCTCTGACGACCGTTTTATTATTTATTTTACGCAAATTCGGTTCTTTTTCAACCCTACCCGCTAACAAGTGCAAAAAGCAGACTCCAAAACAAGGATATTTTGTTCCTGCCCTGTCGACATTTGCAACTAGGGCTTCGAAGCCATATTTCCACTTTGTTAGGATATTGTTTTTCTGGCTTGTTAGCTGCATAAGAGCCTCAGGGGCTTTTATTGAAGCCAGCCTATTCAAACCAGGAAATTAATGCCGGCCACGCTAATCCGATAATTAGGGAGTCGGGGTGGTACTCTGGTTAATGGAGTGTGCAAGAAAGTGCTCGAGGGGAGCTGATTTCTGATGAGAAAATTTAGAAAGGCCAAATCCTTGCCGAAACAAAACAGAAAATCATTCGGAAAATAATTAGTAATTAGAGGATCAAATTCTTCTGCGGAATCCTGGTATAGGCACAAACGTTTGCTTAATCTTATGCCAATCACGATAGAAAAGCTCAGTTTACCAAAACAATTCGGAAAAAAGGTCAATTTGAGGGAGTTCAAAAGTTTCAACTTGCCAGTATATACTAAAATCAGGAACCGGTTTTTTGCGGTTTTGTAAATGTGGCAAATGGAACCTTTCCGGAACAGCTTCTTTCTGTTCTTTTTAAACTTCGGCAGCTGTGGGAAAAGTGGAAAACCGTGGAAAAATCTCGCCCAACAATCCACAAAATATATGTTTTGAAAAGGCTTGGAAGCCAAATTCAAATTTCGATTTCAATCCCAATTTCCCAACCCCGGGGCCTTGTTTTCCGCTTTCGAACGCACTTGTGTGTGTGGGTAGTCAACAAATTTGCGTATGCGCCAGCCAGCTGATGGTAAAAACGACCTCGATCGCCCCTGGGGAGCAGCTGGAGGTCATCCTCATGCGTCCATAGGTGCATCGCGTAGTCGCTCTGTCCCCCGTCATTCCACAGGTCCAACCAATACTGCGAGCATGAAAGGAGGCGATAGAGGAGAGAGCGAGAGAGCGAGAGAGAGAGAGAGAGCGAGAGAGACACAAACAGACAGCTATTCCGCCCGTGTCCCCTTTGCGATTTACCCAACACCACCACTCGGTGCGCCAACTCTACACAAGCGAATCCCACCGCATTCCATTCAATTCGAAAAGTGCTACTCTCGCTCCCGGCTGACCATAAAAACCGACTCAATGCACACGGCATACGACACACCCTGACTATGATATTGCAGTCGTATCTTGATTATGAGGTATAGGCAACTAGAGAAATTTTTCGACAGTTAAAGGATCTGATCCGGGAGCTCACTACGTGAAATTTTTTCGAGGCATTTTTTGATGATTTTGCTTGTCTGGCGGTGTTCTCCCATGGCAAAAATCATTATTTTAATAAAATTGACAAATCTAGACGCTGGCGTATGCAAATATAGACCCGAGTTTTTTTTAATGATCTGTGAGTCCGTTTGGGTTCCTTCTAATTCATTTTTACGAGACAGAAAGTTCAAATGCCGTGCCTGAATATTTCGTGATTGTCCTGCCAATTTCTAGAGGTTGAATGGCCCGTGCGCCTATTTAACAGCTAATAATAACGTTGAAGCCATAAAATAATCAAAAAATCAAATGTAAGGCAGCAAAATCATAAAACTTACCTAAAACTCAGAAAGTCACTCAATGCCGATCTCTTTATTGACCAATTTTCAAGATATTTCGGATGGTTGTTACGTCATTAGATTTATGCAGCTTCTTAGATGGGGATACCATCTAAAAAAAATTTAGATTGCGCAAATTTGCATTTTTTTTTGCTATCAGAATCGTTAAAAATTGGTCACAATACCGTGCAGCATCTTTCTTAAGTTTTCGTTAAATCTTAAATGACTTCCTGTAGCTTAACTGGTTTTGGTTTTCCATATAATTCGCAAAACCTTTTTTTTAATTTCTTTTGCCTGGTATAACGCTTTTAAATCCGACGACTTTTTGAGATACCGTAGCTGCTTGATCTCTCATTGTAGGCAAAAAGTACGAGCACAACCTACCGTATCGCTTGGCCACGAAAATATGTGCGCCAGGGTCGCTGAGAATTCGTAAATCATTGGCCGCAAATCCGCAGTTATGCGCGCCTGCAGGGGCTCATCTCGGCTAAAATGGGAAAAACTGTTGGTTGGTATTTATAAATCCCCAGAACCCACTGTGAATCCGCATACTGTAGCCCAGCTGTTCCGTGACGCTGCTCCGAACGGGCTAAATATAGGGGAGCTTAGAGACTGTAGGGCGGGGCCTGGCTCGGGGTGTTTTTGAGTATAAATAAGGCGCGGGAGGGGGTAAAGGATACGGCTTGGACCGTACTGCTCTATTGATAGGGTATTCCAAAGGTGCTCTAGACATTCTAAAGGGCCATGGAAGTCCAGGTGTTCCTTCATGGACCCTTCGATGACTTGTCGATCACTGCGATTCCGATCTGGGTGTTGGAGCCGGATGGGGTAGACCCGAGCATGGTGGTAGGGGATTTGGGTAGTAACGTTTTGGTATTTTAGGAGATTACTGTACGTTTTGCAGCGTTTCTAACACTTGCACTTTACTTTGTATAAACCGTGTTTATTCGGCATATACCGTTACCCCCAAAAATATTACCTGAAAGCTTTATTTTTTTCGTTTTTTTAACCACCATATTCTTATAGCCATACCTTAACGGATAGAGACGAATTAAAATCTATTTTATCCTTATTCCTGCGTTTTCAAGTTAATCCACCGTTTTCCAGGGCTCCACCGGTCAATCCGGCACCGTCCGGTCGTCCTCCCTCGAGACGATGAGCCGCGACGAGCGCATCGAGTACGAGGACCTCGAGCAGTTCGCCGCCCTCTTCAAGAAGCAGCGTATCAAATGCGGTATGTTGATTTGTTTCTTTGGAATTCTCGCATTTTCTTGAATTCAGAATTTCCGCTACCGTAACCCGCGGAGCCGATTTTATGAAACCGGTGTATAAACGACTTTTTGAAACTTAAGGGAGGGTGGGTTTAGATGACAAAACAGCAGCTTTCTCGCAAAATGAAAAATGGAATCGGGATCGGGATTAAAGTACCATTTACAGGACTGTGAATATAAGTACTGTAGGGAGGAGCAAAATGTACTAAAGAAGCGTCAAAAGGCGGCGATAGGTTTTTTAAATGCCTTCATTAAAATGCGTTGTTTCGGGTCTTTAGTATAATTTTTATTAGCTGGCACGCTCCCTTTAAATAATGCAAAAACGCGACATTTCAAATTTGCTGGGACAATTAAACAACCCTGGTTTCAGGTTTCACCCAAGGCGACGTGGGCCAGGCCCTCGGCCGTCGCTACGGCACCGACTTCTCCCAGACGACCATCTCGCGCTTCGAGGCGATGAACCTGAGCTTCAAGAACATGTGCAAGCTGCGTCCGCTGCTCAAGGAGTGGCTCACCGACACCGAACAGGCCATCGCCAACGGGGCTACCGTTTCTGGTAATCATTTTTCACTAGGCTTACGTGGCTTTGTTTTTTGCGCGTATTTTGGCACATCAATAGCGAGGTCAACGACGCCTACAAAAGCCTCCCGTACTCTTCAATAATTTTTTGCATGGTTTTTCTGGCCGTGGAAAGGTCTTAGAAAGCGATTTTCAGGAAAAACTAAAAACGAACTTCTCAAGACGTAGAAAACCGTGATAAAGGAGAACAGAGGCGAAAAAGAACGGTTTAAGCAAGCCCGAAAAAAATCGGTAGAAAGGTCCTAATAAAGGCCAAAAAAATACATAAGATAGAAACTAGCAACCTGCGCTTAATTAAAAACTCACCAACTTTTGGGTTTTAGTAAAAGCAGCCATTTTGTATGTAAAACTACACAGATTCAGCCCTTGCACGTCGCCACCATTTTTAGGTCCTCACGAACCGGCTTATCGCTTCCGCGTCTCGCTTAAGGAGCTTGCCTCGCTGACCCTCCACAACTAAATGTTTTGTTTCATGCTTGATTAATCGTCTAAGTGTCCAGCTCACAGTTTTTATGTTTGCAAACCCGGCATGAAGTCTGCAAGAATTAGCATAATAAATCCTTCGTTCCCCCGAAGAATCCTGCTCCGCCCTAATACGCACTCCCGGCTACCGTATCGAGCAGTAATTTGCAAAATAAATCCTGGTTTAGACCCAAAAAATCTCGGACGACCCTAAAACGCACTCCCGGCTACCGTACCCGTTAGCTGCCTCCAGCAGTAATTTGCAAACAGATCCTTGATTATCACCGCAAGCCCCGCCCATATAATGCACCCGCCGCTACAGTACCCCTCCACCTTCAATCAAGTCAGCCGACTTTTTTGCGGAGGAACGGAAAGATTATAGCGAGTAATCCCCGGATCTCAGCGCGGGAGTAGAATTTCGGCTAAATGGCAGATTAGCCGCTAATCCGCTCCGGGGGGCTCCGATAGGTTTTGATTGCCGAAAAATGAGAATGTTGTTGGGGGATGTTTGTAAATGGCGGAAAAAGATATCTTTAATTCTTGGAAGCCCAGAATGAGGAGAAAACTTGTCTCGTGTGCGTAAAGAGTGGGGGCGCATGAGGCTGGGGTGTGATTTAGCACTCGTTGTGAAGTGTTGTTTTTGGATTTTGCGACTTGTTCTTGATTTTTTGAAAATATACGGTGTAAATTCAAAAATCTTAGACGTCTTTTCGAATCTTGGCTAGATGTCGCTATGAACAGCGTCGAAAGACACAAAAAAATCCATAAAAATCCGCTCAAGAAAATCGTTAAAATATCTGCGACCTCCCAACCCAACCAAGAATTCAGTTTTAGGGTTATAATTGAAGCCATTGACCGTTCAAAAATGCAGCAATTAGGTTTAAAAAATTTTCAGACCTTGAAGCAATAATTAATTCTGCTTTTTTCAGATCTGATCGACCCGCTGCCATCCCCCTCTTCCGGCAGCCACCAACACCAGCAACCATCCACCACTTCCGCTACCCAGGTGGTTAATTGCGCAGCTCGAAAGTGTGCCCTTCCCACCGTAACCTGTTGTCGCCGTGACTCGTCCGTTTGCTCGGAGGCCGAGCTGTGCTGGTCCTCCGATTCCGACACCGCCCCGATCACGCATGAGATCTCCCTCTTCCAACCTCCCCTTAATGCGCTGTCTCGATCTCTTTCCTCTCCAGATCTGTCTTATAGCCCTCACAACCCTTTTAAAATGGTATATCCACGCCATTCTACACCTAACAACGCTTCAATACCTCTCGATGAGCCGTCCGATTTTCACATCGAAAAGGATATTTTTGATCTTCAAAAGAAGCCCAGAAAAAAGCGATTTGCCAAACTTCACAACATGATGGCCAGACTCCATCTGCGGCATCAAAAACCTGCCGAAAAACTACAAACTACGAGGCAGAACGGCTATAACAGACCGAATTTCGAGTCCAAACAACCGAAAGTTTTGCACCCAATCCTACCGTACCCCTCCTTCCAGTCCCTCGATTTGATGGACAACGCATCAGATTCTGAAGTGATCGGAAAAATCATCAGTTCTCCGGACAGAGAATTGGATATAAGATTAGAGGAGAACTTCCAGAATCAAATCCTTGACGGCATAGATCAGGTTGAAGAGGAGGTAGAGGAAGAGCCAGATTCCGAAGTGCCCCGTCAAATTCTAGGGATTCTGGAAGAAGAACGACCTCTGAATCCGATCCCCGGTGACCATAGCCTGTTAACGACCGACAATCCTGAAGACGAGGATCCTGATTTGCATGCGTGGACTAATCAAATCTGGAATGGACAGGAGCGACCCTCCAATGAAGAGCTGGGAGGGAGTTGTAGGATGTTCTGGAATCACGATTCCTGGAATGGTACCGATTATAACAATGGGATGACGTGGAGAGGTCGGGGAGGAGAGTGGGAGCTTCCAGGATGTGGTCCGGAAAATGAGGACAGCCTTCCGGAATGGACTTCCACAAATTCGGGGGCGATCGAATTCGGAATTATGGATACGATGGTCGGGGTGTTCGACGAGTTTCGTGAAAACGAGGCTTTTTATGTGGGAGGGGACTACGAGGATTATGATTTTTGGGGTTAGGGGGGTGGGCATTCTGAATATATGCCTCTCTCACCGTCGCTCTCTCTCACTCTCTCTCGCTCTCTCTCACTCTCCCTCGCTCTCTCTCTCTCTCTCATTTTCTCGCTCTCATTCTCTCTCTCTCTCGCTCTCTCACTCCATTTTTAGCTGAAATTTGCACATTAAAGGGGCCGACAAGCCGGAACAACCGGCCTGAAGTTGTAGATTTTCCTCTTTTTATTCTTCTAAAACGCCGGTTAACCTCACCGCAACGATTTATGCATGCTCAAATTTATATGTCGTGTCTCATTTTGGTGTAAATAAAGTACAGTACCCCTCATCGTTGTGCAGTGGTTGTTCAAATGTGTTCAAACAAACTTGCTCAGCTTCTATTACAATTCCGCCCAGAAGTTGCATACCTCTGTTTCTCATTTTCTCAGTATTAACCCGAAAAGACGAGTGAATCCAATAAATGTACAAAGCATCGACCCGGAAAATACAGTCCATTTAACGAAGCGCACTTTGGTCTACCCAATTTGGAAATTGAAATCGGTCAGGCATATTTACTTTTGATCGTTCAAGCAAACCTTGAAGAAAAAAACTCAAGCGCCCTTCAACATTTCCACATTTTAAAGCAAGAAAAAGTACGGTACATTCCCATTGACGTCAATTTTTTACAGCACCCTCGCGACGACAAAGATGAGGGTGAAACCTCCGCTTCGGTGTCACCGTTGATGTCTCCTGGGACTTCGGGTAAGCACTTTCCCAAAATTTGTTTAAAACGCTTTTAAAATCGATTTCGGCTTGTTGCTTAAGTAGGAATATCGCAATATCACTTGTTAAATTATCCTTTTTAGCCAGCACACCTCTAAAGAAGCGGCGGAAGCGGACGAACCTTGACATGCAACAGCGGCAAGTCTTGGATATTGTCTTCAAGTGAGTTTTTGGGCCGGGGTTTCATCCTCTACGTGGGCAAATTCCGCTACTACATTCCTGAAAAGTTGATTTTCACTCTAATTTTTTAGAATGAACCCTCGCCCTAGCCACGAGCACATGGGAGAGCTGGCAGATCAGCTGAAATTGGAACGAGATGTAAGTCTGAATTATAACTAGGAAGGAGTGAGAGAGCGAGAGCGAGAGGGTGAGAGAGAGAACTTCTGCTTCACCCGATGTCGTTAACGACCTACATCCACCATTTCAGGTGGTCCGCGTCTGGTTCTGCAACCGGCGCCAAAAAATGCGAAAAGTAGACGACCCACCGGCCGGCATGTTCGACCCGTCCGTCCTCCAGAACCTCCTCGACCAAGCCGGCACCGGAACTGACTCACCCAAACGGGAAAATTCCGAATCCCCGGCCCTGGAAATCGACGAGGGGCCGTAACCTACCGTCCCGCACCGTACCCTCGAATTATCTAGTTAATTTGGTAATGTTTTTTAATACCCCGGCCATCAAAATGAGTGCCTCTGCCCCGGATTTTCGGTGACCCTCACGATTCTACCCTAATTTTTATAGCATATATTTTCGATATTTTGAATCCTAATTGTTAGTTATATTTTTAAAGTTTTGATTCGATTTTCATTGTTTTTCAATTTTTTTTTGAAAATTTTATCAGCCGCCTGTGTTTTTCTGCTAAGCCCGGTCGACTATAATTTTGTATTCTCGAAAATACCTCGGTTTTTTGGGTTTTTTAAGTTTCCAATTTAATTTTGAAATTGTCTAACTTTGCTCCAGATTTTACACACTTGCACTGCCCCCCATTTTAGCACCCCCCCATTTATGCAAATGCCTTTTCTTTAGCATTTTTCCTAATAATTTTTGCATTTTTTCGTTGCTGAGATACAACAGCCATTAATATATCCGATACCCTGTCGCCGATATATCCCAGTGTGAGATTCAAATTATGTCATCCTTTTTTGCTGTCGTATTTTTTCTATGGCAATGCCCTAGTTGATAGTCTGGAATATTCGCCCCGGTTTTAGTATGATATATACTTTATGTTAATTTTTGTGATGTTTTAAAGGGAGTGGCAAGTCAAATGGCGACGTTTTTTACATTTTTTACGTTTTTCCAAGTCCTGAAAAATTAGAGGAGGCATTAACTATGGCAAAACAAAGATATACCTAGTTTTCCGCAAAATTAAAATGTTGCTTATGGATTCTAGGCTTCAACGGTCCTTTAAAACGTTTTAAAAAGTCTGGGAAGACATCTGAAAATTCTCAACCGCATATGAGCGCATTAATGACAACTGTCTTAAGACGTTTTCCCTGATCATGCTGAAAAGTGCATTTTTGAAATTTTTAGTTTTGGCTTCTCGGCCCCTTTAAAAACGTTTAAAGGAACTGTGAAGTGAAGTAAATGCGGGATTTAGCTATAAACTACCGTATCAATTGAAAGAAAGAAAGAACGAAAAAGATATAAAAATCAATTTCAAAAATCTGTTTAGAAGATTCAACCGTAAAAAGAAACGTTAGGAAGCAAAAAAAGAATTTAAATAAAAATGTTTTATGACCTTAGTGAGTGAATTTTTGCAAAATACCTGAATTAACCTCCAGTTCCCGACTTACCAATCCCTTTAATGCATTGTACCACCGGTTTTTCAGTGTTTTCCAAGTTCCCCAAAAAAATGTCAACCCGAGTGTGTAATCCCCGTATCTTTTACCGCACCCTATTTCTTGTCCATCCCGGCTAATCACATTGTCTACTTACCCAGTGAACCGGCAAATTTATTGTAGTCCATTTTACTCCAGCCCTTTTCCGGTTTTTTTTTTGTTTGCTTTGGAAATCCCCCCCCCCCCTTTGACCGAATTCTATGCGTGCGACTCTTTTTCAAGAGCCATTTCAGGGGCCCCGTGCTCAACAATAAACACACTCACAATTTTCTCTGATTTTTGCATTGATGATGCAAGGATTTCACGTCTCGATGAAGACGAGAAAATCGGGATCTTTCTGCCCGTAGGTGTGTTTGTACTTTGCAAAATTCAGGCCGAGGTGTGAGTATTTATAATAAAGGAATATCCTTGAAAAATGGTTAATCCATCGGAAATGAAGCTAAAAGACGGATGATATAGCAAGGCATTAAATAGTCAAAATACAGCCGGACTACGAACAACAACATTGGCAAGAAGGGCAAGAAGCATTTTCTTCCTTCTACGGAAAAAATGAAGTACGGTTTTAATTTATTTAAAATTATGTGCTGTCACAAGCCTAAAACGGTTTAAAGGGAAGGAAAAGTTACCGCTGCTTTTCCAAAAAAAAGTTTGTAGAAATGTTATGCTATTCGCGGATTCTATTGATTTTCATGATGGTTTTGCATGGTTTTTTTTCTGTGCGGTAACCATATGCTTCGAAAAACGGCAAAAACTAAGGTAAAAACCATGAATGGGAAAAGGATTCATCAAATAAAATTGACATCAGAAATTTCATCAAACTTCTAAGATGTTGATAAATTTTTGATCTACCGAAAAAAATAAAAAAATAATGATTCTGTAATAGTTTCGGACTCTACATGCTTGAAAAGTTTTCCTTATTCTCCCTTTTTGCCTATCAAAATTCCGTGTAAATTCCCCCTCCCCGAATCACCATTCAACCAGCCAAGTGTGTCCAATCCTGGCCCGAGACGCCTGGCTGAAATCGCCTTTCAGTCGTTTTTTCGGTCAACCATTGGGGTGGTAGTCGAGGTCAGAACAGGTTACCCCATCTCTCCTCACCGTCCGTCCCCTTCGTCTCTCAAATATCTCGACGACACAAAAATCGCGCGCCCCCGTGCCGGTGTATTCGATATCGGGATATTTGGGCACATTACTACCGCGAGAACGCAAAATATGGAACCGCTCAAATGGCTGTCTTTTTTGGCATTGTTTGGAGGTGCGGTGGCGATACGATGCTACTCGATTTCGCAGGATGAGCCGATGCCATTGGTGAGGAGCTTTCGGAGGTTTTATAGGGATTCGGCAGTAGGAAAATTTGTCTAGAATAAAAAACAGGTGTAGAAGTTTCTAGGAACTTTTACAGGAACCAGCAAAACAAAAAATCTACCGAAAATTGCCCTCGAAGCGCGAAAATCCGCTAGAATTGACGCTAAAAATGTTTCAACCATTTTTTAAATGGTTGGATCAGGCAAACATCTAGGTAGAATCTAGAATAGTTTTTACTTAATTCGTGAATTTCACTAATTAAATTTTCTACTTTCCGATGCTACCGACATTTTTGTCCGATTATAGCCGACAGATGCCGACGCCCACGGTCTGCACATCTTCAGGGAGCTCTACTCGTGGAAATTCAAGACTCGCGGCCCATCAAAGGCACGCTTGCTTAGATTTCGTTGTTCATTATAGTTATTACCCAGCATCTGATTGTGGAAACACTGCCGACTGTTTGAAGCCTTCAATTTCAGCCCGTCCCCGCCAACTGCGGATTTGAATGCCGATTCTGCCAGGAGATTATCATCAAGTGGGTGCTGAACAGGCACTATACTACCGATCGGATTATAGATATAAAATTACTATACAAATTTAAATCGAATTAAATTAAGCATTTCTTAGAATGGAAGACGGCAAGACCCGGGAATCCTATGGCTGCGGCTGCGGTGAGGGAGATCACTTCCATATAGCCTTCCTCCAAAACCACTTCAACACCACCGAGATCCCCACATGCAAGGTACGAAAAACCCTTCAACTCCGAAAGCTAAACTAGGAAGTGACGAAGGAGCCGGTTGATGTCACGGAACTATCATCTGAAGGGGTGCAAGTCTCGATGAAATGCTGTCAGACCCCGAAATGTCAATAAATTGCTTTGAAAATTATTTAAACACATGCGAAAACCTTTACAAACATGAGCCGAAAACCTATAAAACTAATGCGTCGTGTTAGACATGTAGCGGTCGCCGCGCGGCGCAAGCAGTGGAATTATGGTGCGTAATTAAAAAAATCGAGCATCACCCTGCTTTAAAACTACAGTTTCTAAGCGCATCACGGACGCGTCGCGGAGTTCATGCGCGGAATTATATAGCGTAATTGATTAAGTAGTGCCATTTCCAGTTCGGACGTACAGCGTCATTTTGTCGACGGCGTTTGAAGGCCTTGTGAGCTGAGTCGGTACAATTACACAACGTGCACGAGTCAATCGAGTGTTCAAATTTTTTTATTGAAAGAACATCAAAATATTTACTCGAGCTTCTTGGCGGCCTCCTTCAACTCGGCGATCTTCTCCCCATTAGGCGCCTTATTACAGGCCATCTCTGAGCAGCACTGTGAGTGGACGGCTGCTTCGATGGATGAGTACGATTTGGTGACACCAGCGTAGCCTTCTTCAGCCTAAAAATTATGGTTTTCTTTTGGATTCTGTAGATCCTTTCACAGATACTGTTGATTTTATTACCCTGCAACCTACCGTGCACTCCTTGAAGGCAAAGTTGCTTGGGTGGAAGGTGTTCTCGATGAAGTTCCTGATCGTTTGATCCTGTTTCCCGCATCCGCACCCGAATACTTGCTTGAACGTGCCGTAGTCTTCACTAAAGATCAGGTGTTCGTTTAGTACAAACGATTACGCGACGTAAACCCATCGGCAGAAGAGGCATTCGTCACCGCAGTTTACAGGGTGACCCTGAAAATGTTGAATAGAATTTTTGATCGACATCAAGGTATGTTTTTATACGATTTTAAATTTTCTTAAAATGTTGTATGTAGACCTTGTGCTCCACAACATCGTCCTCCAGAAATGTAGAGCCTTTATAAAAGCTATATATGAAGTCATAGAAAAATCTTACTATTTATTTGTTAAAAAAGCGTAAATTCGACTTCCAGATACCTTTTAACCTATTTATGGATATTAGAACTATGATAATGCAGAAATTTGACTTCAAGGCCCCTTTAAATGCCCGTAAAAATGTTTTGAAACAAAAATCTCTATTTTTTACCTGGAATGCGTTCTCCGGCGAGTACTGAATACAAACAATAGCCAGGCAGCAGCTCAATAACCACGAAAAGCTGACGATTTTCAAGAAATTTTGGTCCATGTTACTTGGTGCCAAGCCCAGATAGCCAAGATCCACCGGACAAGATTTGACGCGCACAATTTGTTGGGTCGACCGGCCGGCCGTGATGCCGGTATTCCTCGAGTCCCCGTATTTTTCTCTGCCCCTCTTCCCCCCTCTCGCCCCAATCATTTCCCGGGTCGATCCATCCTCTCGCATCTTCTCCTTGAAGGTTCCCGCTCCTCCCCGAAAAGGTTACTTTCCACCCGGGTGCCCGCGGTAAATCGGGGTTACCGAGATTTTTCGAGGGGATGGCCCGGGTCGAGCGTGGAAAGTGTTCGAGGTCGTTGCCAAAAACTACTTCAAAATTTCAGGAGTGAAAGTGGTGGTGGTTCAGAAATCGAGATGGCTGAAATTTGGTTGAATTGGAGTTTTTAGGGGACTGGGAGTACGCTGAGTAAACCGAGCAGAGTTTTTAAAGAGTTGCCAATGAAAAGTGGAAGCAATTAACCTAATAATAATGACATTTCACCTACCGAAAAGGATCCGGCTGAGGATTCCGAGGCACCCGAGACACGTAACAAACGATATGCTACGTACGACATGCAAAACAAGACACGCGACGGACTGCAAGCAATGCACGACGCGAAACTAACGACCCGCGAGGCAACACAGGCGATGTATGATACGCGACGCACGGCGCGCAACACATAATACGCGAGGCATAGGGACGTCTTTCCATCGCTTAAAGGCACCAGCCCCTAGCTGCACCAACCACTAGCCTGGGGCCAGCGATTTGGAGACGGGAGAGGGGCGGGGGGCAAGGGGGTATGAAGGGTCAGAGGTCGCGGCCGCAGGACAGCCGAAATCTTGCCGCCCACCTGGGTTTTTTGAAGAACGCGGAATGTAACTTTAACAGACAACCTCTTGACGCCCGAAACGACGGCGTTGCGGGTTCCGTGCGGAGCAAATTCCATAGATATGCCTGCCTCTAAATACAGCCGCGAGCCGCCCTTAAAAGTTGAGAGTGATGCGAGCGGCTTCTAGTCAACTGTTTCCTACGCTTTTTTTTTGTTCTCTTCACCACCTCAAAATTCTATAAAATCACGGTCCCACAACCTTTGTGTATGTTTTCCAAGCCTCGATCCCCTCGGCGGCAACAGACGCTTTCAATGGCTGACGGTTTATTGTTTAGACCAAAGCCTGCCGGCAAAACGGGGCGCGAATTTTTGTTATTGACGCCAGTCTGCCCCGATTGCTCACTCCTCTCAGGATGTTCACGATATTTGCCGCCGGGTTATTAGCTTTGGTAGCTGCCAGGGATGATGGGATTGAGGTATAGAAGTAATTTCGCATTAAGAATTCCCGATTTTTATCAGATCCCCTCCAACGTTGCCATTCGTGCAATCGGTGTTCGTGGGCAGTTCATGTGCGGAACCAAGCCATTGGACGGTAGGAGAGAGAGAGAGAGATGAGAGAGAGAGAGAGAAATAGTTCGATATCAACGTCGTAATCTTGTTCAGGAGCTCGAGTCCGCCTCTACCGAGTCGCCCAGTTCGGCAAAGACAACCTCCACGAAATCTTGGACGAGAAGTTCTCCCTAGCTGACGGCAAGTTCAAGGTGGAGGGCAGCACCAAGGTAACCTTTTCCTTACAAAGCTCATATCGGTCCATAGGGATACCCGCGCAACGAGACCGAGCTGTACCCCTGGATCTCTGTTCACCATCAGTGCGAGCAAGATATGAAGAGCTTGAAGGTAAGATACATGAGCTCTCTCCTCCCTTTCTCTCTCTCTCTCTCTCTCACTCTCTCTCGCTCTCTCTCTATCGCTTTATTATCTTCTTCAGCAAGGCTACCGCCGCTTCAACATGCGCATCCCGGACAGCTACGTGCACTACGGCGAGCGCTCCCACAACGCCTACGATTTTGGGACCCTGAACTTGGAGGTAAGACTTCAATAAGTTTTTATCGACTTCTTCAGCCTGGTACTCATGGCGAATACATCGATAAGCACTACATCCCCAACCCGAATGCCAAGCCGTACGGAGACAAGAAGCCGGCTCCGGGGCAACAGGGAAATGCAGGATATAACCCCTATAATAATTAATTTTTGATGTTTTTCGATAAATTTTTAATTTGAATAGACATATCTTTCCCTATGGATCTCTCTCTCTCTCGCTCGCCCTTTCTCTCTGTCTGTCTCACTCGCGATGCCTTTGTTTCCATTTTCTTACTCTTTCTTTGGCTCGCTCTCACGTTTTCGCATGCCTTGACCATCCCTATCTCTCTCTCTCTCTCTCTCTCTCTCTCTCTCTCTCTCTCTCTTTCGCTTTTTCCAATATCTAAATTTTACAATATTTATTGGCGCGTCAGACACCAACTCTGTATCACACTGAACACATTGCATCCAATATGGATTACGGTAGCCATGGCCACACTTTAGACATCATGAAAAACTCCAAAATCAATACACCGGTAATATTTCAAGGGATGATGAGAATAGCGGTACCCTAACAAATCTCAAAAGTGGGCTTGAGCTTGAGCAGACAAAGGAGATGGAAGTTGATGGCTGTCTAGTTCATATATCGATTCATGAGCATCGGAATGTTGAGGTCAGCCTCGTAGCGCAGGAAGCCTCGGTGTATCGTCAGGATTTCATTTGTCGTTGGGAAATCGGGGGCGTCGACGAGGTACCGGCCGACCCACATGTCGACGGCGTCTTCGAGAAACGGGGTAGACATCGAGACGAGGAAGTCGACGGTCTGGAGAAGGAGGGATTAAGCAACTACGGTATGCTACGCTTTACACGATGTGATATGGGGTGATAAGGTACCTAGAAATACTACACACCACGCTACGATACGCTATGGTGCATAATGGTACCACGTGGTACGTAGCCGATAGCTGATAGCAATTCCTCACTGGAGTTAGAAACGCCACACTGCATTTGAGTCCACTACGAAACAATGTACATTAAGATACTCCTGCTGCCTGCGAGGTTACGCTACGTTCCGCTACGCTACGATACGCTAAGCCGCACCAATGTAAGATGCGTTACGCATTTACCGGCGATACGGCTCGCTCTACTCTGTTGCGTTCCGAATATACTGATTACGACAAGCTGGAATAGCGCAAGAAACGGGATTTTTATCAGGATTCGCTGCGGTACGCTACGATACGCTGCGCTACGCTACGATACGCTACGATACACGGTTCTAAATCATACGTGAGTATTTTAGCTAACATATGGAATTACGACGATGGAAACATTGATGCTTACCTGCTGTGAGATCAGCCCCACTTTACTGTCGACAAGCGTCGCCTGCGCGTTCAGCATATGGAGGTTTCCTTTGACCTAAACCAATTATTATCAGCATCCGGATCAAAAGCCGCGCACCTTCTGCTTTGAGACCTCAATTTTGAGGGCGAACTCGGTTTCGACGTTGACTGTCAGGAGGCTTTCAGGAATTCCTTCGGTCAGGGGCTGCGGATTGACGTCGAGAGATGCGTTCAAGAAGACGAGGGCCTTGTCGGGCGTTAGGGCGATAATGGGAGGTGAGAGGGTTTTGGCCTGAAAAAAAATTGATTGCTCTCTCTCTCTCTCTCTCTCTCTCTCTATCTTTCTGTATCTCTCAAACTCACATTAATAGCCAGCGTCTTGTTTGGCAAAACCTGCGCTAATTCCGGCACGACGGTTCCAAGGCACAACACATCACACTGGGTATCCAGGAATGGGCTTTCGATGGTTGTCTGAAACCATATTATTGTTTTCTACCCTTTTTAATGATTATTAACAACAACAAAAAATTCTGGCATTATTCAATATAGATTTTCGCACCTTCAAATGATCCGCAAAATGCGCGGCAGCCAAAGAGCTCTGCACCGTCTCCTCGTCCACAAAAATGTCCAACATTTTCTGGGTTTTCGGGACCGAATCTTAGTGGCATTTTCATATTTTATAATTTTTAATTAAATACCAATCTCCATGACGGTCTTATTTCTCTGTGGAGTGGATTCTACCGTTTGCCCATCCCAAATCAAATCGCTCCGCAGCCGGAATTCAACAAATTGCCCGGTCATGGCGATCGATTCTGGGGTTCCGGTTAGGGTTACCTAAACAAGGATACCGTAGATATTTTTACGAATTTAAAGGGTTCCGTTAGGCACTTTGAAGTTGGATTTTCGAAGCTTACCGGTGGTTTTTGGCTAATTGAAATATTCGTCGGGAATTGGGCGAGTTGAGAGGCAACCCACGGAATCCAATGCACTCTCATGGTGTCGCAGTACTCCTGAAATACAAAAATTGGTATAAAAATGTTGTATAAATGCTTTAGCTTGTACGAAAAATTACAACTCTGCACTGTATTTCTCAAGAATTTTGCACGGCTTGCACGATTAAATACCAAAAATTTTCGATCACAAATTTTAATCCAGATGAGCACCTATGTTGCTCTCAACGTTTTTTCAAATTTGAACACAATATTGTCAAAAATAATCAAGAACCAGAAAAATCTTTTCATTTGAAAGATTTCGGCATTTACATCCGAAAATATTTTAATGAAAAGTTTGAATATGGCGTGTTCGAATATGCAAGTTCCTCGTAGAATATTTGAATGCTAAACTATCGTTTTTAGTTTTTTTAACATCCAAAACTACTCGTTTCCTCCCCCCATCCGCCCCACTGCATAGAGCCTGCCCGAAAATGGCTCTTTCTGTGGGGCATCGGGCAGCCCGATACCCCCTGCCCCACAAAGACCCCTCCCCACCCGCCTCACCCCGTGGCCTTGTGGCCTAATGGATAAGGCGTCGGTCTCCTAAACCGAAGATTGCAGGTTCGAGTCCTGCCTAGGTCGAATTTTTTGCTTTTTGCTTGAAATGTTACCTGTTCGAGTTGTTTTCGAATGGCACGTGTTAGACTGTTGCGGAACCAATGTAGGACCTAAATTTCGTCATTTTATGGTCGTCAATTTAGCATACATCTGCCGCCATCGAGCCAGACAGTGTCAATCGGAGATCCCGGATTTGGGCTACGCAATGATGCATTTCGACCGAATTATCAGGGGTAATCTAAAACGTTAAAAATCATTTTAAATATTGAAAAAGACACTTACTTGCATAGCAATTTCCGAGATTAACCCCGTCATTTGGGCTTGGATCTGGCCATCTAAGGGGATTCGGAGCATGGAGAGTACGTTCGAATCCAGCGCCCAGTCCGCGGTTACCTAAATGATGCGAAAAATCGTTTGAATTTTAAATACGGAGAGGAAAGAGTTAGAAATTTCATTTTTTTACTGGGCAAGACCTAGCACTCTTACGTTAAAAGGATTTTTTTGGGGGCAGATTATTTTAGTCGATTTTGCTACGGATTTGATTTATGCCTCACACTCCTTTGAAATTACTAAAGTCCTTTATAAAAATATATAGAAATTATATTGATATTAAAGTTAAAATAATTTAGCTCGTTAAATCGACAGTATCTGCCAATTTTTAGAAATAAAATGGAGCATCAATATTATTTTTAGGGGAGGCAAAAACTTATTTTATAGATTCTCTAACCCCCCGAAAAGTCTAAATTTGAATCCAGCGAGAACGTTCAAATGCGATATTTTGTAAGAGGCTGTCCATAAATTTTTAAAATTTAATTTTAAATTGCCTATTGGCGGTGCTAGCTTTTGATTTTGACTGCGCAAGTCCTTTAAATTGATCCCATTGAACCCGACTTGCACAAGTTCACATTATCATGCGTGTCTTCTTCACTTCCCCGACTCCCAAGAACAGAAGAACGCGTAGGCTGGCCTGTCCAGGGGACGGTGCCCATCAAGTGCGAGAAAGGCAAACACAAAGCGGTTCGAACAACGACCACAGGCGCGCCGCGTGGAATTTGCATAGCCGGAACACGTCTAGCCCCCGGCGAGCATACGGGGAGAAGAGGCCCAAGCCGACTTTTGCCCCTCTTTCGCTCCCAATTGGTGGCCATCATTTGGCGGTTAGCGGATGTTCTTGATGTTTGGAACTTTACGGGGTACGGGGGAGCACAAATTTATACAGGGTCTGGCGGGTCGATTGGCTCGCTAAAGGGGTTGTGAAGACAGAATATGGCCTCATTTCCGTTGTCGGAAGCTACAAGAAACTAAAAAGCGCAAGATGGAAAGCTCGATACCCTTGAATGCTTTAAAGGCTCCTGAAAGTCCCTTTTACCTAAAAATTCAAAATTTTCCAAAAATAAAATTTTTGTTTAGCGACTTGTTTAGCTTTTAAGGGCCTTTTAAAGCCAAAACTGGAACGCGTAAAACCATGAGGATGCCTTAAAGTGACTAGAAAGTCAAGGATTACGTAAAAACTCCTTAAAATTCGACGAAAAATCTTTTTTAATTGACACTTGTTTGAATTGAAAAATTCCTCGTCTAGAGCTTTGTTCAAGGTTTATCGGATTTCTAAAAAACCCCTAATTAAAACAAACTTTTTTTTGTGAACCTTGGTTTTATTGGGTTTTTGGGACGTTTTCGATGAATTTCCGTATTTATTTTTGTCAGGAGCAACCGAATTTCAATACAAGGACAGAAAGAAAAGATAGTAATTTTGATGTTATTAATTACCCCCTCTACCTGTGCATAGCCGCTCATCGTACTCATGTACAACACGGAGTGGTCGGTCGGTCGAAATCGTATCAACGGCGAGACAAATCTCCTGACGGCCAGGTTCGTGACGGCCATTCTCCCCGTTGCGAAAGAGGTGGAGAAATCTTGCTAAAGTTCTTGCTATATGCCTCTTAATACTTTAACTTACTCTAAAAGACGGTAATATAAATTGCGGCATCGCCAGATGAAGCCATTGTCGCGTAAAATTAGCTGCTGCTCGAAGGCCGGAATCGTGAAGCCGGATGACGACTGATTGGGAGGCCTAAAAATCGGTTTTTCGGGTGGTGAAGCCCTTTTTGCACATGTCATTAATCCGAAAACACCCACCGCAATCAACGGCAATAACAACAACAAATTCCGCATCTTGGCGGTGCGGAATTAGTTGTCAATCGTTCGGAATCCGCCGATTTTCTTGCTTTTCGCGGTGTCGATGATCGATCGGGGTTCTGAAGCATGCGTTAAACATAAAAAAACAGCAATATCTATTTATAAAAAAAGTAATAAAGGATAGAAAACAAAAAGTGACAAAGATATGGCATGAAAAAATTCAACGATTGACCATGACGACTCTAGAAAGCTTCAAAAGTGTAATTTTAATTGGGTTAAACCTGATTCAAAACTGAGCGCTATTTTAGTTATTTAATCATTTTTAGTTTACGGGACTTTCGGGTTGATTATGAATCAAAACTTTTAAACAATGAATTTTTGAGGAACAGACGACAGATTTTTGCTCCCCGGCCTGCAAATTCCCGCTATCCCCCTAAAAAGTATCAAATTCCATTAAATCCTCCATTTAACCCACCCAATAAAGAAGTCCACGGTTGAAGGGGGGAATTTAGCGCCCCGCTAATCGGCGCGACGGCAAAAAATCGGCTGGCCCCTGGAGACAATGGAAGCCGCGGCGAGGTGTGGGCCTTTAGGGGCTTTGCGAGGGGCTCGTGGAGGCTTTAGCCCCCCGTCCCCGGTTAAGACGTAAAAAGCGATACGGTCCGTCTATGTGTGCGTGTTTATTGACCCAAAAACGAGGGCGACGCCTCGGGATTCGAGACTGCACTGGACCAAGGGGGGGGGCCTAAGCCTAAGCCTAAGCTATAGGCCGGTTAACGCCTTCAGGAGGGCGTTGAACCCAGCAGGATGATGATGGTGAAAATAGAGGCAAGTCGGCGAAAAGCTTTATTCGAGTATTATTATCCAAAAACAGGGCATTGACTAAGCAGTTAATGATAAAAAAAGAAAAAGCAATTTTTTTCAAAAAATCAAAAAAGTTTGTCCAAATCCATGTTAATCTGCCTGCTAGGTTCCTTTAAATTATAAAATCACGCGTATAGCTTGAGCGAGTGAGAGAGACAAGGATTTTTGAGAGAGAAGGAGCGGGAGTAAGAGGGCGAGAGAGAGAGAGACAGAGCAGCGACTCTGACAATGAAAGAGCGAAAGAAGTAACTGATGGAGGAACATCAGCAAGTCGGCAAGAAAAAGCACAGGAGCTTGAGTGGGAAAGACGCTCAAAAAGATAGCGAACGAGCGGGAGAGCCACAGAGAGAGAGAGAGAGAGAGAGAGAGAGAGAGAGAGAGAGAGGCGAATAATAGCGAGATCTAAAGTCTAGCGCATGTGAAAATCACGAAGCGATCAAAATCGTGCACCCCGGAAAGAAACAGAAAGTGCTGAAATCTGAATGACGACTCCCAAGGCCCGGGTACAAAAGACGAAGGTTCGCAACTCGCTGAAAGAGCCCCCTGCAGAAAAAGCCCTCCGCAAAGGGCCCAAAATCTCGTCTTTTTGCTGGTAATCCAGCCGCGCGGACCTCTGAAAGGCGGGGTGGGCTAGCAGAGGCCATTGGGGGAATCCGGGCGAGGTGTCGGGGGTCAACACAACAACAGCAACCCATGAAGGGCGGGATGGACCCTTCCACTTCCCTTAGGGCCCAGGATTGGGGGGCGGGGCGGATGCTGTCGGAAACTTTGTGTTTGCACCAGCACCCCCTTGCTGGAGGTGGTGATGTTGGTGGCCTTCCAGACTGTGGTTCTGGGACCTGTGGGAGCATCACTACCCTCAAATGGTCAGTCAACGGTCTGTGTAAAGGACTGTAGATGAGCACACGCGATCCCGAAACCAAATCTGGAAATTGGAAAGGAATTGGCTCTCCATTTGGAACGGCCTGGGGTCAACAAACGAACAAACGACCCGACAAAGGAAAAGCCTTTTTTTCTAGTTCCACGCAACATCTTGGTTTTTTAGACAAAATGTATTTGTATTTTTCTATTGTTGACAAGCTTTTTAACTATTTTTTGGTATTTTAACGGCATAGTTTAGTGTTGTACGTCTTTATCTCAAAAGTATTTGGTTTCTTGAGGCAAAAAGAGATGAAGAAAACGGCTAAATGCAAAAAAAATGTATTTAATCTTAAATCGGGACTTTCGGAATTTCTTGAAACTTCGCGGCTAAAAATAAAAATCTAAATTTTCCAGACAAACCGAGTCTCGAAACCGTCCACCGCTAGAAACAAGTGAAAACCTAAAAAAATTGAAAATCGGATTGTTACGGCGTTTTAACGAACTTACGCTATTAATTTCTCGTGAAACGGTATTGCGATAGGTGAAAAATTGAAGCAGTTGCTTGAAACTATTCAATAAAAATATTTGGCTCATAAAAGGTTGTTTTCAAATCGCTTCGAAAAATTCGAAACGTCGAAATCAGGTTTAATCAGCTGGTAAAATCCATGTAATTGCGGTCTGGATTCCAGGAATCGAGTCGAGGCCACTAGCAAGAAAGAAGCGGGACCGCGGGAAGGGATGTCCCTGCTGCTGTTGTGTCCCCTCCCCCCTGCGGGCGTGCGGAGCTCTCGACCCTGGGTCGATGATATCCCTTTATCTCCACCCCCAAAAGCAAGCTTCTCCTCATCGGGGCGGCGGGGTTGAAGCGCGACAAAAATAGACTGCAACCGATCCCGGGGGCCCTTGAAGGAAATTCGGCGATCCGGGATTCGCCGAGTCCCTGATTCGACAATTCGGGAGATGCACTTGAAATGGGCGGATCGGCTGGAATCAGGATCCAAACTAAAAACTAAAAAAAGCGATTTTAGCTGAAAAAAACCAAAAAATTTTTCAACTCGGAAATTTCTCCTTTTCCGTTTCGCTTTATTCGGTACCCGATATTGACAAGAAATGCACAAAATAAACATAAAAACACGAGTACGTTACTATGACAATTGTACAAGCACTCGCGCGGGGCTCGTATCGATCGCTACCCCGTTCATCGCGGTACTCAACTCATTGAGAGTACGGGTGGTAAGTACGGTATTCCGGATGACGGTCGCGTCAATGTCGGAGGATTGGGGGACGCGGATGCGGAGGCGGAAACGGAGGGCAACGTCTTCTCCACTAAAAATTGCTTGTGTTTTCGAGCAAAACGTATTAAGATAACCATATACGGAAAGACCAGAGGGAGAGATAGAAGAGAGAGAGAAAGAGAGAGAGAGAGAGAGAGAGAGAGAGAGAGAGAAATAGAGAGAGAGAGAGAGAGAGAGAGAGAGAGAGAGAGAGAGAGAGAGAGAGGTATGGAGCTGCAAAGGTTGTGGAAGGAGATAAGGGCAGAGAAAGAGAGATGAAGCCAGTCAGAGCAAGAGATGGAGAGAGAGAGGCAGAGAGAGAGAATGAGAGAGAGAGACAGCCAGAGAGAGCTAGTGATGGAAAACAACAGAAAAGGACTAGTTTCTAGGCGTCCCGTTCCTTTTAATATTACCTGTTGCTCAGCCCAACGAGCTCGGTGCGAAGGCCAAGCCCTCCGATCGGAGTCCTACCCAGCACCGAAGCTATCTAAAGCATCGATTCAGCAAATTAGACCCCTTCCTTACCGCCTCACTGGCTATCCTCTTGGCCTGTAGCGTATAAAAACTGTTCGCATCGTCATAGTAGCTATTTGCTTGTTTCAAAATGAACACTTCACAGGTAAAGGTCCGGTTGACAAATCGATCGACGATTGGCGCGTTGGTAAATGGACCGGGGGCCAACGTTTGCACCGTTTCATCAGAGCCACCGAGTACTGTAAGCGATTTCGTCTGCACAAATAGAGCACTAAATACCTCCAGTAGCAAATAATATAATTATGACAATCGCGGCGAGTAATAGAAATCCGATTACAGCGAGGGCAGCGATTAGCCACTTCTTGGAGCCGCTGAAAATTTAATGGGGGGACTTTTTAAAGGTAAGACTTTACTTCCCCTCCCACCCCCCCCCCGACACAGCCGTAGGGTTTCAAGGTTTTCGGAATTTTTGCTATTTTTGTCGGGATTTTTGCAACGCCATTCGATAGAGCATCGAAAAATATACTACCAGTTTTAATTTGAGCCTACAATATTGTAAAATAAAAAAGTTATTGTGAAAATATTCCGGCTGGGGGGGGGGGTAAAGTAATGGTTAGCTTTATCAAAAAATTCTAAAAATTTCCCGGCGTCGAAAGTTACGGTAATATATCTTCTTGTATACTGTAAAATATCTTGAAATTAACAATGAAACCAACATACCTACTCCCGCTGAACGAAATCTTGGAATTTGGCGAGCTGGCTCGAGCAGTACTCACAAAATGGAAATTATTTCGCATATAATCTTCGCCGGTGTTTCGGGGTTGGTAGACAGCGCTGCCGGTGCTGTAGGACATCCGGCTAAAAAGGGGTGTGCTTCGAAAACACGAGTTTTCCAGCCGTTTAAATTTTGCGTTTAGGAAGCTCCTGAAAGCGCTAAGAATTCTGAGTTATTTGCGCAAAAATTGACTCTGAACTTGCGGTAGTAATAATTTAATATATTTTAGTACTGTGGAAACTTAATAAGAGTTAAAAAAATACAGACAAATTGGAATTAATCGTAGTACTTACCTCACGTAATCGATTCAAGGATTCTCGTCGTAATAATTGAAGACATCAAGTCGAAATAATAAAAGGGTTCTAATCGAATTAGAATCCGAAAATCGCTGACTAAGGTAAGTAGATGAAATCAGAATATTGTCAATGTCGTTAAGAAACTCCCCAATTACGTATACGAATCCCAGCTAGTAGCAGCCAGCCGGGGGTGGCTGGTAGCGGGAAGGGGCCGGATTGAGGGGGTTCTGTTGGTGGCTTTTGTGGTTGAATGTTGGTATAGCTGGATGAGATGGGTGGATTGAGGGGGGCCACTGGCATGACGCATGGCCTTGTGCCCCAGTCGAGGATAAGGGGCACACCACCTCAACCAATACAATAGAACGAATATCCGGATCTGGAATGGGCGGATATGGCCTCGACGATGAAAACGTCTCGAGAAGTTGGGGGTAATGCGATGTGGTACTTTTTGAGAGAGCAGAGCGAGGGAGAGAGATAGTGAGAGATATAACGAGAAAGAGGAAACGGGAAGCGAGAGAGCTGCAAGAGAGTGCAAAAGCGAGAGAAAGAAGGGATAAGAAAGGGACCTAGAGGAAGATAGATAGGGAGAGTGAGAGAAAGAACGCGAGAGCGAGAGAGCAAGACAGCGAGCGCGAGAGAGCGCGAGAGAATTAGAGGAGAGAGAAAGAGGGATAGAGACAGAGAGGCATCAAAGGGACTTGGAAGGCAAGTCTGGAGATTTTATGGGTTTTCTTTTTTACCAGACTTCTCCGCGTGGTAGGCGCATACGCAACGCGCGCGCCGCTCGCTGCGCTTAATAAAAGGTCTAAGGGATTAGGCCTCTGATTAAGGAGGAGGGATAGGCGCGCCTTGCGTCTGGTGTGTGCAAAAAATTCTACGAAGAAGTTTTGTGTTGCTGATTCCAGTCCAAAGTGCCTTCAGGATTCACTAATGTACTTTTTTCCATGAAATCGTCAGGCCTGTTACTTTTCGTTGTACTTTGAATCGAATAGTTTGTAGCCTATAGCCTATGTTCCCATATTTTACGACAGAAAAATCATCGGCCTTGACCCGGGGCTTCGCACATCCGGACCGGATTTCCCGGAGAGTCGAATTTCACGCGCGACTCGTCGAGAATCGAGAATCCAGAATAACTGCTTGTGTGTGTGGTGGCGGTTGATGATGGTGTCGACCTCGTCGCGGGAGAGATAGTCGGAGTCGGATCCAGTTTTTCTATCCACCCTGCTTTCCCTGGAGCGAAAGCCCCGAATCCGGTCAACTATCGCCCATTCCCCCTCTCCCCTCACCCACACACATCCAACAGTCCATCAAGTGCCCCCTCCGGCTACGGCCACCGCAAAACGATTGATTCGGACCGGGCGGTTATGCTAATGTTTGTTTTTTTTTTGTAAAAAAAATATTGTTTAATGGTTTTTCATTTACAATTTTCTGCTGATGTTTGATTGGTAGATTTTTTGGGCTTGAAAGGCTGCGGTTTTTTCCCTCAGAAGTGCAGCTTTTTACTTAAGTGAAGCGGTGTTGTATAGATCTTTAAACCATTACCAGCATTAAAAATTTGATAGTAACTGCTTCATCGAGATTTTGGTATTCTGAGCTTCTGTTGGAACTCCGTTATCCTAATTTAAACTTATTTTAAGTTCCGCTACATTTTTCTGATGTCATTACACGATGGAAACTTAAATTTCCAGTATTTTATGGAGTCGAAGTTTTTGCATAGGTTATGTTTTCCATAGTTTTATAAAGTATATTTTTCTAACGTTGTTAGTAAGGTTTTTCTTTTCCAAATCTTCTTTTACGGTTTTTTAAGTTAAAGTTTAAGAGAATGACCGCTGACTTTCCTCCGGCAGTGGCAATCCAATATTTATCCGTATAAAACGGTAACTAACAAAATTACCAAAATATTTTTGATGGTTTCTACTCTCCGATATTTAGGCTATCCCCCAGGCCGGAAACTGGTTCAACCAGAGAGAGAGCAGCTCCAAATGCCGACTTTGTCCCATTTTCGTGCTATGCCACTGGCATCCCCTCGGCGCAAAACCCGTTGCCAAGCAAAAGCCCCCAAATATGCAGATCCGCCCGGGCATTCATCGAAAAATACCTTCAGCAGATTTTCCGGTTTTTTGTTTTGATTTTGGTTCGGGTTTTTTTGTAATCACATCGGTTACCCCCTGATCGTTGCCGAGAATTCTGGAAGTTTGCATTTTAGTCATTATCCTGTTTTTTGTGCCTTGGAAAAACTTTGCTAAACCCTAAGGTTCCTGCATACCACAACCAACGTTGTTTTTGTAACGGAAAACCAGCCAGCTCTAGCTCGGCCGCGCCAATAAATTGGTAGGACTGTATTGTCTAGCCGTCAGCGCTGGCTAGCCAGCTTCTTTTGGTATTGCCATTTGTTCGTAGCCTTGAGTTGCCGATCGTAGAAAGTTCCTCAGTGCGCTGTCATCGTTTTGAAGACAATTTAAAGTTGAAAAAACTAATATTTATAATTATTATTAACAAATGTACACCGTTATGGCTTGGAAAGTGATACAGTGAAACTCTGGACTGGACCAAGGCTCAATTCATGCAGAACTGCCGTAAATTAATGCAATTGTCGTGTTACGTCTTTCTCGAATACTCTAGTCACCGGTTTTTATGTTTTGTTTAAAATTGCCGTTGTCCATTTTCCTAGCTCGTTCTCCTTTCCAATACCTTAAAAATCAAGCCTCACCCAAAAACCGCCAGTGACTCTCCTTGAGTGCCCCACTTCCCGGGTCAGCCGCCTCGACAGTGAGAACCACTTTGGCTCAGTGTTCACCCTCACCCAAAAAATCCCCCAATTTCGCGTCGATTTACGGATGAACAGCAAATCTTCAGCGAATTTTCGCCCCTACCTTACCACGTCAACTCTGGAATCCGAATCCCTGGATTTTTCCCCTCACCTTGACCCCAATCCCCTCCGTCCCTCCATTTTTGCCATAACAAACATGTTGCCCGAATAACAAACAGCCGCGAAAACTTTTCAGACCGTTGGAGCAGCACCTCTGAATGTGAGCATGAGAATATCCCGATTTTTGAGCCTACTTGTTGGGTGTTGTTTATATTCCGGTGTTGCTGGGCAGTGTAAGTGATTCTATGGCTGAAAATGTAGGTATTTTTTCAGTGTCGATTGACGATTTAATTCATAAAGCGCTGTCGTTGGTGCGACCAATTTTTGATACTTCGCAGCCGATTCAGAATGATGCTATGATCAACAATCCGGTGAGCTTTAACCTCTTTCTCTCACTCTCTCGCTCTCTCTCTCTCTCTCTCTCTCTCTCTCTCTCTCTTATCTTTATAATTATTTCTCTCCCGCAACCAATTTGAAATTTTTAAGTTCAACGACGCCCCCGGTTCGGAAGGCCAACGCCAGCACGATATTCTTGGGGCTCGTCCCAGAAGTATTCTCGATAATCTACCACTTTGTAGAGGCAATTCCAAGTAATTTTCATCCCATTAAAAATAGTGCTTTTCGTTCAGAATCTGTCAATTTATTTCCTGCCATGCCGAAAACTTCAAGAAAGACCAAAATTTCGCGAATCTCAACCTGGCCGCTCAGGTTCTGGGGGATAAGAAGTTGAGGAAGGCTGTGGGAAGGTAAAATAGCATCCAAAATCTCGAGCTCACTGTGTTTAGCAACCCCGAAGCCATTAGTGCTGTCTGCAACGAGCAGGGGATGAGCGACGATCAGTGCAAGCTGTTCAGCAACGGATTCCAGCTGGTTGACAAGTAAGAGCTTTAGCCGTTTAAACGTAGAATCCTAGTTCCTTGGTTTCAGTTAGCGCCCATCAAAATTAAAATCAAGCCCGCGTTTTAGATTCATTTCAACTGTTGAGGACGATCCGGCTCCAGCTCCTCTACCTGATCAAGAAAAGCTGGACGAAACGCTGGAGAAGACTACTTTAAAGGTGTAATTAACTGAGATAGCTTTTTCATTTGTTTTTAGACGACAACTACCACGGAGCCTAGCGCCATTATTCAAAGCATGGATGACGATCTGGTGTTGACGGTGAGTAAGACACTTCGAACTAACAAAATCTGAAAGCAATCGTATGAATTCGGCTATTTCCAACTTACAGACAGTACACCATCACCCAACCCCTCCGGCTGGCCCTCCGAAAATGCCGATACAAGACGATGAGCCGATCGGGCCGCAACGAGTTAGGATCGAGATGGGACCAGGGCAGCTGTATGATGATCCGGGGGTCGATTCATCTATCGACAAGTACGGGCGACAACCACGACGGTTGATGGGGTCGAAGACGTGGTCGACTCAGCCCGAGTTGAGTAACTCGATTGAGGTGTGTGTGAGAGAAAGAGAGCGAGAGAGAGAGAGAGAGAGAGCGAGAGAGATCGATAGATAGGGAGAGAGGGAACGAGAGAGAGAGAGAGAGAGAGAGAGAGAGAGAGAGAGAGAGAGAGAGAGAGAGAGAGAGAGAACGAGAGAAAAAGCAATATTTTTGAAAAGTGCTACAATTAATTAATCTTCATAATTTCAGCCCGACCCACTCCACATCGATCCAATCATCCCGAATGAACCCCTCCCATCCGCGATCTCACCTCCCTTCGGCCCGCCAGGCCATTTCCTATTCCCTACCGTACCTCCTGGGCCTCCTTTCGCATTCCCGACACTACCTACACTACCTCCCCTACCTACTCTACCACCACTTCCGACGCTACCCACCCTCCCACCACCTCTATTTCCCGTCCTCTCCATCCAACCATTGAAAGTCGGTGAAAAACTGGGGGTCACATTTTTCAGCTATTTTTTCAGGCCCCCGGAATGATCATCGAGAAGCCGATGGTGCAGTTTAGTAAGGACTCTTATGCGGAGATGTTCCGGAAAAACAAGGATGTGGATTATAAGAGGAAGACGAGAGAGGTGGGATTTAATCGGCGCACACGTTACCTGTCAGATTGCATTTAACTCTTCAAGGTATCTATGAAAACCCGACAATCTATTAATGCGTTCCAGACAATCTAATAATATTCAAAGTAAAATTTTAAATAAATTTATTCTAGTTTGGTTCGTCTATTAAGAATTACCCCGTTTTCATTTTAATTCTAATTAAGATTTATTTTAAATCTATCTAAAAATTCAAAAAAGGTAGAATATTCACTTTTCCAGATTGACGATGACTTCAGCGACTACGATGTCCCAGATGTCGAATGGTCAAATCGAAGAGTAAAGCGAGACTACTACGATAGCTCTGGCCAGGTAAACCTCAACTTTCCATTTCACTGATTTATACCGGACTCCCCACCTAAAAAACTTATCGAAATTTTCAGGCGCGAAGAAATCTTGGTCTCGGCACGAATAGTCGCAGCCTGCCCGCTTCAGTGGGAAAAACGAGCTCGAAAACGTCAGAAGGCGACGAAGACTACTATACTCAAACCGAAGAAAAATCGCCTAGCCCCAATTCTAAAGCCTCGACCCCGACAAGAGATTGTATGGCATTGCTTGGGTAAAAAAACGGATTTGGTTTCTAAACGGATGGTGCCAGCAAACAACTTTTCAACTCATTAGCTCTAGAGAAAGAGGTTTGCTGACATCATCCCTTTAATGTGTGATACCTTACCAATTACATTCCGACACTTTTGCCGATCTTTCCCCCCTGCCTTGTCTGCATTTGTGATGATACGGGTCTCGCGAAATGCTTGTAAATAAAGACAGCTGTATGTCTATGCGTCTGTCTGACTCGTGCTCCGATGTCCGGAATTCGGCACAATTTTTTTCGGCACAAGCCTAGATTTTTTTTATAAATCGCGGTCGCCTTTCTAAATTGTTTTTAACTATTCCTGAGTATAAAAACTACACACATTTTAACCAAAAAAAATCAAAAAATAAAAATTAGGTCGAAAAACCCTATAGAACCTTTAGGATTCGCGGGGGGGAGAAGACCCAAAATGACCAAATTTTCGACTTTTTTTAAACATTTTACTAAATTTTTCTGAAATTTATTCTGGTTTAAATATAGTTAACACTTACGAAAAACAGTTCGAAAACACTTTATATTTGATTACTAGGTCAACCGGGACCACCGGGAAAAAAATTGGTTTCCCCCCGGGAATCCTAAAGAACCCTCTTTCTCTAGCTCTCTAGCTCTTTCTCTCACTCTCTCTCGCTCTATCTCTTTGCCTCTCTCCCACTAAGTCTAGAGGCATGCAGATGCGGCGCATGACCCCTCAGGTCTGTGTTCAAATTGGCGGGTAATATTACGTAGCCAACCTCCGGATCCACAAAAGTCATACTACAGGCATCGGCTCCATGAATGTCGTTTTTTTTCTGTCTCACACACTCTGTCTCTCTCGTTCTCTCCCGCTCTCTTTGTGTCCATGCATCTCTCGCGCGCTCTCTCTGTCTCTCCCACGCCGTCTCTCTCCCTTTCTCGCTGGCTCTGGCTCCCTTTCTACCACCAAATTTATTTTTTATTTTCAGGCAATGAACTTCAGCGCTTTCCCCCGTCAAGCACAACACGACATCCTCCGACATATGGATATGCAAAGCTTCTTCAAGACGGCCATCACGAGCAAGACAATGCTGGAGCTGGCCAAGACGTGTCGGGATAAGCACTGGGATGTAAGCATCGAAACGCGGTGGGTAGGGTTCGGGTTGAAGCTCAAACCCTGCTCACATTTGGATCGCTGCCGCGAAATTCACAACGAGGAGACAATCCGGCTGCTGTTCCATGCTGCAACCATAAAAACTTTATCTCTGTTCAGTAGTGTTGGACAGCACCCCAAAGAGAGCACCCCGGGGTGCTTCTTTTCTCACCCCGGGGTGCTTTTATTTTCACCCCGGGGTGCTCTAAAAAAAGCACCCCGGGGTGCTTTCAAAACCACCCCGGGGTGCCCCCAAAAAGCACCCCGGGGTGGAAATAAAAGCACCCCGGCCGAGAGAGGGGTGCCCTGGAAAGCACCCCGCCCCCCAGTGGGGTGCTCCAGAAAGCACCCCAGCCCCCCTTGGGGTGCTCGAGAAAGCACCCCGGGGTGCTTTCCGGAAGCACCCCAGGGGTGCCTTTTGGGGTGCTCTGTGGGGTGCTGTCTGGGGTGCTTTTTGCCAATGACCGCAATATATCAACTAGGCTATTTTGATCGAATCAGGAGATGAACATCATTTTCGAGCAGTTCGCACAACTCGGCGCCAAACCGCTCGCAACTCATTTGGGGGTCGTTTGGTAGCATTTCTTCGAGGTTGTTGAACACGGCGGACCATTTCGAGACGTTTTTTTCTAACCGCGTTAGCAGCCTAAAGAAGCTTTATAGAATTGCTTTAAGCCGTTCAGAAGGTTGTATTTTGAACGCTCTTTCCAACGGTATACTTGCCGTTCTCCAACACCGTCGGGGGACCGTGAGGGGAGCGTTTTAGTGCCGAAAGGTGTACCTGTCGAAGTTGTCGCCGGACTAAAACCATCATATCTCGATTTCCACTACGAATCCTGGATCGCGAAGGGCATCATTCGAAAGAGCGCGAAAAGTTCTAACTGCCCAACGAGTTTTAGCTCTTGAGCAGCTTTGCCCACGCTGCTAGCGCGGTTAGAAAAAAACGTCTCGAAATCGTCCGCCGTGTTCAACAACCTCGAAGAAATGCTACCAAACGACCCCCAAATGAGTTGCGAGCGGTTTGGCGCCGAGTTGTGCGAACTGCTCGAAAATGATGTTCATCTCCTGATTCGATCAAAATAGCCTAGTTGATATATTGCGGTCATTGGCAAAAAGCACCCCAGACAGCACCCCACAGAGCACCCCAAAAGGCACCCCTGGGGTGCTTCCGAAAGCACCCCGGGGTGCTTTCTCGAGCACCCCAAGGGGGGCTGGGGTGCTTTCTGGAGCACCCCACTGGGGGGCGGGGTGCTTTCCAGGGCACCCCTCTCTCGGCCGGGGTGCTTTTATTTCCACCCCGGGGTGCTTTTTGGGGGCACCCCGGGGTGGTTTTGAAAGCACCCCGGGGTGCTTTTTTAGAGCACCCCGGGGTGAAAATAAAAGCACCCCGGGGTGGGAAAAAAAAAGCACCCCGGGGTGCTCTCTTTGGGGTGCTGTCCAACACTACTGTTCAGCCTGCTCCCGGAGGAACTCGATCTTCGAGCAAAAAACTTGCAACTCGCTCGCAAGAAAGCTTCACTCCCGCTACTAAAGCGGCACAAGCCAATCGGGAAATATGAAGAAGTCGCATTGTCAGAGTTCGAGAAAGTACTCAGCCAAGAGACGATAAAGTGGCTGAATGAATCGGTCGTTTCCTTGGACATAGGGCTTCCGGTGGACAGCGAATACGAGCTTCTAAAGTTACCCAAGATGCGGTTCAGGGTTCTGTTCAACAACGCGGATGTTTATGATTACGTAAGAGTGGCCATAGACGAATGGATCAAAGGCGAACGTGTGATTGCTTCCATCAACTTCAAGCCGATATGCGGTACAGGACACGGCGTCGATCTTGACTTCTTAAGCCGGTATCCGAAGCTCGAGCTTCCCGAGTTTTCGTGGACGTTCTACCGAGTGCGAAGGGATGACGGAAACGTGCTGATTGTAGCGGCGTGTGGCCGCGAGGGAGTATCACTTATGGCCCCGAACCTTGTTGCTCTTGATGGTATTGACATTGGCATGTTTGTGTTTGGTGATGAGTGAATAAAGCAGTTTTTAAAAAAAGGATAGACCATGCGCACCAATAGGCACCCATGCAAATCTAAACTCCACGGCACAGGGTTTTCTTGCTTCTTGTCCACATGGTCGAGGTCAAATCTGCCCTCGGGCAGGCAGATGTACCATCGGACTGCGGGGATAATGCTATGAGTTTCGTCGACGACCTATGTCAATCGATTTGGCGGGCAACGCCTTGACTTTGTTCCGCATTTGCTTAGAAATTTTGTTCGCATTTGCGCTCTTCTATTGCCCCCACCCCCCAAAAAATAAATCTGTTTCTCGGATTTTCTCTATCGCTTTCTCTCTCTCTCTCTCTTTTTCTTTCCCGCTCTTTCTCTCTATTACCCTTTAATTTTCAGGTGATGAACTTCCACGCTTTCCCCCATCAAATCCAACACAACATCCTATGCCGAATGGATATCCAAAGCTTTTTCAAGACGGCCATCACGAGCAAAGCAATGCTGGAACTTGCCAGGACGTATCGGGATAAGCATTGGGATGTGAGTGTCACTTGGCCGTGTTCAGAATCCGGAATGATACTCAACCCATGCTCGCGGTTCCCTGATCGCCGTCGGGAAATTCGTAACGAGGAGGTCATATGGCTGCTTTTCCATGATGCCACCGTGGATTCCTTGATCCTGCGCAGCCTGGTCCCAGGTAATGTCGACCTTCGCGCCAGAAAACTGGTCGTCGAATGTGATAACGCTGCACTCGCGGAGCTCAAGCGCCATAAGCCGACCGGAAAGTACGAAGAGGTCGTTTTGCGACGATGTGAAAATGCGAGCAGCCGAGAATCCAGGGACTGGCTGAATGAATCAGTCATTTCCTTGGATCTAGGACTCCCGATTGACGAAATCCAATACCTTCGATTGAAAATACCGACAATGCAGCTAAACCCAATCTGGAGCGATGTTCATGATGTTGATGAGTATGCAAAACTGGCCGTCGGTGAATGGCTAGAAGGCGAACGTGAAATTACTTCCATCAAGTTCAAGCCGACGATGCTTGCCGAGCGCCGCGTCGATCTTGACTTCTTAAGCCGCTATCCGAAGCTCGAGCTTCCCGAGTTCTCCTGGACGTTCTACCGTGTGCGGCGCGCAGACGGAAATGTGTTGATCGTAATGTCGGGCCGCTCCGAGTGGTTAACACTCACGGCCCCCAACCTTTTTGCTCTCGATGGGATTGACATTAGCATGTTTGTGTTCGGTGATGATTGAATAAAGCTTTTTCCTAAAAAGAATAAACCATACGCATCAACACTGAAATATTGATACAAGCCAGATCTCGAGGGATACCGCGTGTTTTGTGGCGTTTTTGCCACGATGCTGGTCCTGAAAATTGCCTGGGGTAATGTTAATGTCCGACCGGCCTCGGGGGGAAGGGTAAGGTGTAAGGACCGCTCGATAATGTTTCCAGGAACCATGAGAGTTGGCGCGAAATTTGATCTTCTTCTTTTTTGAAATTTTTTTCTGGTTTTATCTACAGGGTGTCCCAAAAAAATCGACCCCCTATAACGACTCGGAGAAATGTCCGATCTTGACGATTTTGGTATCTATGGAAAGCTCTCGAAAAGGCCAGAACAAAAAGCACTTTTTATTTTTCAGTATAGGCATTTTTATTTACCAAATTCAGCGCCAAGATATACGAAAACTGCAGATTTTATGCAAAATCCGCATGTTAATTGCTTGCCAAAAGCTAACAGGGCGATGCTGCTTATACGCTTTTTTCAGAAATCGTTGAATATCGAGCGCCGGGTACGAAATTTTGTAAAACGAAAAAAGCTTGTTTTCGCGCCGCTTCAAGTGCTTTCGAATGGTGTAAAAATCATTCCGATCCGACCTTTCTCTGGCGCTAGAGGAGGGCCGACTTTTTGGGACACCCTATATAGCCTCTTTACCTCTCTCATCTCCCTCTCTCTTTCTCCCATTTCTTTACGTATTTATTTACGTCTTTTCTCATTTCAGACCATGGACTTCCACGCTTTCCCCAGCGAGGTCCAACACAACATCATCCGCCGTATGGATATCAGAGGCTTCTTCAAGACGGCCATTACAAGCAAGGGAATACTGCAGTTTCTCACGTCATGTTGGGGCAAGTATTGGAACGTTGAGATCCTGGAGCAGTGGACGAGCACCACCTACGTTGTGTCGATCGACAGGCAGAACTACTACCAATTTCTCAAGTTGCAAATCTTCAAGCTAGGGTTGTTATACGAGTTGACTCGTTGACGAATTGATTCGTCAAAAATTTAAACGAGTTGATTCGATCGCGATTTGACTCGTAGCGAATTTGACTCGTTGGGAACGAATCCGATTCAAAACGAATCAATTCGCATACGAGTCGATTCGTCAGACGAGTTGATTCGCTGGCGAATCGATTCGTTGCCCACGAATCAGAATCGAAACGAATCGATTCGTCCACGAGTTGATTCGTTTGCCGTTCTGACTCGTCGGAAGTTGTTATATGTTAATGGAAAACGCTATGTAAATCAGAAATCACCCCCGGGGTGGCTTTTGGGATGTCTTTCGGGGTGCCGTCTGGGGTGCTTTTCGGCAGTATATGACTAGGCTTTTTTTGACCAAATCAGAAGATGAACAACATCTTCGAGCAGTTCGAACAACTCGACGCCAAACCGCTCGCAACTCATTTGGGGGGTCGTTTGGTAGCATTCCTTCGAGGTTGTTGAAGGCGGCGGACAATTTCGAGACGTTTTTTTCCAACCGCCCTAGCAGGCTCATCAAATCTGCTCAAAAGCTGAAACTCGTTGGACAGACAGCACTTTTCGCGCTCTTTCGAATTCAGAATACGCTGTACAGATCGGGATATGATGGTTTTAGTGCGGCGACATCTTCGACAGGTACGCCTTTTGGCACCAAAACGCTCCCCTCTTTGCCCTCAGACGGTTTTGGGAAACCGTAAATATATCGTTGGGAAGAGCGGTGAAAATGCAACAATCTAAACGCCTTGAAGCAATTTTATTAAGCTTGGTTAAGCTGCTAGGGCGGTTGGAAAAAACGTCTCGAAATTGTCCGCCGCTTTCAACAACCTCGAAGGAATGCTACCAAACGACCCCCCAAATGAGTTGCGAGCGGTTTGGCGTCGAGTTGTTCGAACTGCTCGAAGATGTTGTTCATCTTCTGATTTGGTCAAAAAAAGCCTAGTCATATACTGCCGAAAAGCACCCCAGACGGCACCCCGAAAGACATCCCAAAAGCCACCCCGGGGGTGATTTCTGATTTACATAGCGTTTTCCATTAACATATAACAACTTCCGACGAGTCAGAACGGCAAACGAATCAACTCGTGGACGAATCGATTCGTTTCGATTCTGATTCGTGGGCAACGAATCGATTCGCCAGCGAATCAACTCGTCTGACGAATCGACTCGTATGCGAATTGATTCGTTTTGAATCGGATTCGTTCCCAACGAGTCAAATTCGCTACGAGTCAAATCGCGATTCGAATCAACTCGCTGGCGAATTGAATCGACGAAATTTCCATTCGCCAGTTGCGAATCGGGACTTATTCGAATCAACTCGCTGGCGAATCAACTCGTATAACAACCCTACTTCAAGCTGCTCTTCCATAACGCGACCGTCAGAACCCTCTCCCCACAGTTCCTACTACCTGGCGATATCGATCTTCGCTGTCAACGACTAGAAATCGTGCAGCCTGGCCCTCATCCATTTCTGGAGTGGGAGCGCCACAAACCGAACGGAAAATACAAGGCGATCATATTTTCGAGCCACCCGACGCTGATGAGCCCAGAATTGGTAAAATGGCTCAATGAATCGACTCTAGGCCTCGATGCACAGGTCCGTGATGTAAACTTGCAGCTGAAGATGCCAAAAATGTCGTTGGAAATAATTCGGGATGGGGCGCCGCCCGTCGAAGTTTACGCAAGACGGGTGACCGAGGAGTGGCTAGAAGGTGAACGTGCAGTCGTTTTGATTGTTGTGAAAAATCACGGTCATCAAACTGAGAGAAACTCCGGCTCTTTCTTCGATCGATATCCAAAATTCGCCAGGGATCGAGGCTGGGCCCTCTACCGCATCAAGCGCCACGATGGGGAGCTGATGTTCGTCGCTCTACAGGCGAGCACAGCCGGCATCGGAACAGGCGACGAGATACAGCACATGTCCGAGTTTCTGAAAGACACCGATCATGATGCCCCCGCAGTCAAAGAGTTCCTCTCCTGTCGTTACTGAATAAATGGTCTCACGAATTCCCAGCAAAAAGAACACTGTATTATTAGAGAACTTGAGCGCAAATTGATCAAAATTTGGCCCGCGTTTTTCCAATTGTCGTCAATGGACGGTTTCGAACGTCCTGTAAAAAACGCTATCTTGGTTGAGGCAGCCCCAGGGTAATGTTACCCCAGATTTCGGCTTAACAATTACAGTTACAAGTGGAGGAGGCAATGTGACTATTTCGGTATTTTAATCATAAACTGAATATTGCGGCAAAAGGCATGATCTGACCTGCTTTGAATTTTTTGTGTTTCTTACCTATAGCCTCTATCTCTCGCTCGCTCGCTCTCTCTCTTTCTCTCTCTCTCTCTCTCTCTCTCTCTCTCTCTCTTTCTCTCTCTCGCTCGCCCTCTCGCAAACTGTCTATACTCTGCCAGCCGAACAGAAAGCCCCCAAGGGCACGAGCCATCGCGCCCTCCACTCTCATCCCTCCCTCACTTGTGAGGGACAACAGGTTTCACTCGCTCCTCTCAATACAAAGATGCAGAGTGAGCACGAGATGGGCTATAGACCACTAGAAAACTAGAGAACTAGAGGTGCAGAGCGCCCGAGAAGGCGCCACCAAGGTGAATACCATCGATCCCCCGGCGTGCCATCGATACTCCTCGCCGCCGTCGGCCATTGGGTTCTACCCGCAACCGGCTGATGCGACCACCAGCGGCACCATTACACGGTTTACGGTCGTCTACCCAGCAGCACGTTTTTGATGCCATTTTTAGTTGGTCTGGTTCGGGTTTTTTTTTTGTTTAGGCATCTGGTTCTGATCTTCTTGAGGGATTTTCAGTTGTGGAAAATGAGAATGTTCCTCAGTGTTTGTCTGACACTGTCCCTTTAAAATAATCTCTTTAAATTAAAAAAAGGCCTTTTTGCCTTTTTTGATCGACAGGGTTACGATAACTACGCGCTAGGCCAAACGACGCCCAGAAAAGTTCAAATTTTTCGGCTGGAATGAGGTTATGCTTCTTTTCAACGCTTTTCAAGGTATTTTTGACCATATCGGAGTTGTCGAGGCCGAGCGAGGGTAATATTCCGATTCTGACGCTTCCCAGTCCCTTTAAAACATCCAACGCTGAGCTTTTTGGGTTTTTCTAGCTATTTTGAGCAGGATTTTCGTCCTCCTGTGACTATGCTTTCTGCTCAGAGTTCATCTCTTGCTTCTCTCGTAAAATCTGCCCTTGCTTTTCCACAGCGCAGTCTCGAGTCTCGAGACTGGAAGCTGAATCACCACGCCATCCTCGCCGTCCCGTCCTCTCCGTTTTTCCAATTTTTTCGTGGTGCCTCAGGCAGTCAGGGAGAAAACGGGAAAAGCTAATTACGCGCTGATGGTTATGGCATTGTTTGTGTAGAGTATTTTCGACGTTTACGGTTTTCTAGACACTTTTGAAGCATTGATTCCTGTCATTTTTAATTTTAAGCAATTCTACAGTATTCTTTGTGTCTTGAAATGAATTAGAGAAAAATCAATGTCGACCCGTGCTCAGAGCACAAATTTTAGCTTTCTGATTTTATTTTGAGCTCATTTCTAGGATTCTTGCCTTTTCTCCTTTTAACCTCACCCTTTCTCGTTCGAAATTATTCAAATTTAACAAAGACCGGATGTTCTTATTTCTTCCCCTGTCAAACAAACACTAAAGACCCCCACAAATGACATATGTCCTGCCAAAATATTGAGCCCGAGGCTACAATATACACCATGCAGACGGAAATCTTATCATACCCCTTCAGGCGCCGACGAAAAACCCACCTCATTCATTCTGGCGTTCCAATGCGATACTGGCTGATCGTCTTCCTCGTTGGGGCCGCGTCGGCGGTTCCGATATTTCCGCGGGACGAGCAGGTATGTTTTACTGTTAATAAAATAATTAAAACAACTATTCGACTCTTGAATATGCTAGCTAGCTAATACTCTTGTACTAACGTTTGTACCTTGGCTATAAAAAGCCCTGAGGCTTTGATTTTCGCTTTTCTTTACAAAGGTCGGCTTGACTTGATTTGGTAGCCCACTTCAAATAACATATGCTTCATCCTACTAAATTTCGTTCGTTTCAGGCTCTAAATGAAACTCCTCGACCGTCATTTGCATTGGCCGAAAAGGAGGCAGCAGGCGTCGAAAAAGTGCCGATCTCGCAGGGCGATGGTAAGTTTTTCGATACTTTAAACCCTGTTTTACAGCCAAAAAACTACGATATGCTGTAAGGTAATCATAACCGTCATTCGCGAGCCATCTTCAAGACGCCACGAAATTCGAAATAGCCCAGCGCCTAGCAAAATAGCCCAGTGAATAGCGACAAGCAAAACATTCCAAATTACGTAAAATTCCAGGAAGCTCCGGGGGCATCATGAAATTCGTCGAATCGGTAGCCAACCACCCAGTTCTCGCCAAGGTCTGGAAATTCGTGGAAGAAGCCGTCAAGCCTACAACTACACCTAGCCAAGTTGTAGCTGCAAACCAGGACAACCGACCACGATCTGTCGCTAGGGCTGTAAGTCATCAAGAATCCTAACCGGCTAAAACAATTCAGGTCCCGACAAGCAAGGTCAGGAAGCTGCCGGCTGGGCGCTTCGTGCAAGATGACGCTGAGAGATTTGAGGCTTCGCTCAGCAAGGATGACTCGGCGGTTAGCTTGCAGCAAGACGTGAAGCCGGGCGCTTCTGGTAAGCGGAATAACGAGACTTTTAAAGGGACGGGCAAGGCATAGCTAGGTGTTTTCCTTCGGCTATGGATTTTCTTTGATATCGCCTACGGATTCCGAAATGCCCGCGACACGCAACGCACTGGCAGCGGCGGCCTGTCACGAGCGCGGCTGTTTGGAAAAGTGTCATTCATTAGGCGATGAAACTACCGACCTTCTGATTTGATGTACCTCCAAATCTAGGCAAAATCACGGACCAAGTCTGGTCCAAGCAGCTGTTCGGTGAGCGCGGTGTCCTGACGGAGATTTTCCACCTGATGGACGAACAAAGGCGCGCAGCCGAGGCGAATGCCCCTCATGAAGCTGGGAAGCAGGCTGACTCATCCCAGCAGAGCGACAGCTCACCCAAGATTGGAGGTCAGTGCTATTTGTAGTCGCTCTGACTCTCTCTCTCTCTCTCTCTCTCTCTCTCTCTCTCTCTCTCTCTCTCTCTCTCTCTCTCTCTCTCTCGCTCTCTCTCTTTCTCTCTCGCTCTCTCTCTCTTTCTCTCTCTCGCTCACTCTCTTTCACTCTCTCTCGCTCTCTTCCTTTCTCTCTCTCGCTCTCTCTCTCTCTCTCTCTCTCTCTCTCTCTCTCTCTCTCTCTCTCTCTCTCTCTCTCACACTCACGCCTCTCTCTCTCAATTATAGTAATCCTAATTCCAGCCAACGGCAAATTCGACCTCGCGAAAATTTTCGACCAAATCTTCTCCGGCTCCGCGAAGGGGCAACTTGGCGACTCGGAAGGGACAGGTGGTCAACTACCAGAGGTTGGTGATGCTAAGCAATCGGAGAAAATGAAGATATTTTAGTTCTTTGGCCTGTGCAACCGGCTCAGCTGCGGCGACATCTACAAGGCGATCGATCAGTTCCGGAAATCGGAGTTTTTCTCGAATTTCCAGGTATGTAAAGGGGGAATACGATGTTTTATTGTAAGAAAAACTTCTAATTGTTGAGCCAAATTTTAGCAAACCGAAAGGACCCATTTTCTTCGTTAAATTCGAAAAAAAAACATGCATTATTTAAATTCCGCATTTAGGAATTTAAAAAAATCACATGACCCTAAAGTTTTAGACCGGACTCCACCTGATCCAAGACCCGAAAGGCTGGGAAATCATCGGGAAAGCCCTCGAAAACCCGGAACTCATCAGCGAATTTACCGGAAATTCCGGCCTCAAAGAAATGTTCGGCAGCGCCCTCGGGGGTGGCGATGGCGAGAAGGAGAAGAGTTGAATAAAACTGAATTTCTAACCAAATGTTCCAACATTTAGCCGCCGAAAAGTCAAAGACGCAGATAATGCCCGAGGACGGGGACTTTGGCACGGATTTTACGGATATAGCCGACGGATTGAAGCCGAAAAATAAGGTCGGCGAGGAGCCGGACGTTGCCTTTTCCATTGACGAGGTCAAGGAGACGTCGTCGGGCGGGAATGCGGATTATTATAGCGAAGTGAGTGGGGGAGTTATAGGGCTGAGGGACGGTTTTAGTTGACTAAAACTAAAGAGGAAGTGGTGGTGGATCATGTCGATGTGGACACGGTGGTGGAACCGGTGGTGCAGAAGCGGGATGAAGCCGTGCCGGCGTCGAGGGGTAGGGGAGTGTCCGTCTTGGCCGCTAACAACGTATACTAACTACAACTGCACCGCTTGCCTGGAATTAAGCTTTTTCACTAATTGCACCGCTTCCCTGGAATACCGCTTAATTTTGAACTGTCGCACGGCACTTTAAACAACGATAACTACACGGCTTGTCTGGAATTACACTCATTTTGAAACTCGATCTCTCACCGGAAGCTAACGAACACTACTACATCGTTTACCTGGAATTATGCTTGATCACGAACTAACTGGCTTAAAAATAATAGCGGTTAACTAACCGATTAAACTCGGCTACTAAACTACACTGATGTCTTAAAATCACACTAATAATCGATCACCGCTTTACCGTACTATTTCTAGACTACTTCTGGAAGCAAAGATATTTTTTTTTGGCTTGACGCGCCCATGTCTGGCTTCATCGTTTTTCTGAGTTCCGCCCCTACTTCTCCGCAATAAATTTTGTTTTTTTTTTCGGAAGCGGAGAGAGATTTCTTTTTTAATCGAAAAAATTAAATCCATCCATCGCGATCACTTTTTGATGCTATTTTTATGGGAATTTTTATGATGTCTATCTTGTCACATATCTACTACAAACTCGCACTAACATCACTGGCTGACTAGCACCCACATAACTTAACCTTTTAAAGCAAAAATTTGTGAGATTAAGACCAAGTTTAGCGATTGAAAAATCCGATGGCGGTCTCCCCGAGCTCTCGTTCTCCGTAGATGAAGATGAGAATGGGGAATCTTTGGTCATCGAGAAATCGATAGATGTGGCTCCTCCGAAAAAGGTCTGGCTTTTTTTTAAAAACAAACAAAATATCTATCCATATTCAGGACATCTCAATTCCCATTCCCAAGACAACACCCCGGCCACTGCAACAACGCGTAATTCGGGTCACCAACAGCACAGTCCCTCTAAAAATCTCAAAACTTACAACCAAATGGGTACCCCCAACCAGCACCAGCCCGGCAACGACTCGGCGCAATTTCCGGAAAGATAACGACTACTATTCGATGTATTACGATTCGGGGTAAGGCATCTGGTGCCTGTAAATATTGTGGGGATATAAATATTTTTTTTGTTTGTTCTGAAACAGTGCACAGGTGACATACAATACTGAAAAAGTTAATGACAACAGCAAGTGAGTACAAAGACAGCGAAGTAAAAGGCAATTCTCGATAAGACCCGTAGAAAAAAGTTTGCGGAAGTTCGTGGGATCGTTAGAATCACAGTTATTGACTAGTTGACCATGGTTTAAGGTAAAAAAACTACATACAGGCAAGGGAGTAGAAATCAGTGGTCGTAGATGGGAAGTGGGTGCCCTTCGGTGTTGAAGACCCATTTGTCGAGCGGGATCAGCTCGCGATCGTCGTCGAAGAGCAGGTACAGGTATTTTAGGGTCTCGGCAAGGAAGAAGGACTCCATTAAATCCCTAATTCTCAATTTTAAATACATTTTTAATTCTCACCTGTAAGTAACCGGGATTTTCTTCACGTTATTCACGCTCGAGTATCCGACGGCTAGTCTGGCGTACTTTTCGATCGCCTACAAAACCAGAATCTACGCGGGTACAGAAAATCACCTCGAACGCCTTCCAGCCCCATTCCTGGTACTTCTTATCGCCGGTGAATCTGTACATGTAGAACCAGGCTTCAATCGCTTCCGGCCGGAGCAGACAGTGTGCGTCGAGAGGCTAGAATTCCTTATATAGCTTAAATATTATATCAATATATTTTCAATAAAATAAATATTCACAAAACTAGACCTTGATCGACAAGTCCTCCTTTTTGCCGGGCAACAAGTTAAAATAGGCAATCTCGGGCGCAAGTCCCGTGGGAGTTTGATACATGGCATTACAGGCTTCAGCTAGGCCCTAAAAAAATTATATAAATCTTCTTTCGAAAAAATGGATACCTTTGCAATTTCCATATGGCGAGCCGGCATTCCGTTTTGTACGCCAAGCCCGAGGGTTCCGGAAAGGAAACAAACAAGATGGTCCTAAAATATAATACATCAACATTTATGTCATAGCCTACCATTTTTGGCGAAAAGCTATCAGCCGGCGGGAGCAGCTCGCCGATGTAAAGCAGCTTGTTCGGCTCGCTGAGCCGCACCATTTTCTCGTCCATTGAAGACATAGCCTTGACGTAGTCATCAATAAGCCTAAATTCTCAATGTATTTTAAAATAAAATGAGCGAACCACTGCGTCTTCTTTCCGGTTTGCAGCCATTGCTTCAGCAAGTACTCGTAATACGAGTCGGATCGCGCTCCGAAGGTGATGGTCGTCTTTTCTAAAGGAAAAATGGAGCATGAGAAGAAATAAGAAAACTAACGTTTGAATTTCCCGGATTCGGCATTGATAAACATGTCGCAAAGGCCGCCATGTTCCTCGCAGCCAATCGCGTGAACATGCTCAGAAACTTTGAAGGCGGTTTCCCAAATAAATGATTGTTTCGATACCTGTAAAAGTAGTTACCTCGTATGTTTTATTTCCTGTCACCCTGCTCAAATCGCGGAACTCGAGTTGTAGGGTTGTCACCTCCGAAAGGCTGCTATCACCGCTCCACGAAGGTCCTTTTGCGGATCTGCAAATACTCCTTTCTACATCAAAAAAATAGAAACAAACCCTGTTTTCAGATTTACATCGCTGTACGGCACCGGAGACTTTGAGCTGGTAAATCCGACGAGTAATCGGCCTGCTAGGTCTTCGGCTTTTTTGATGAAGCTCTGAAAATACAAAAAAAAATCTGTTTCCCCTCTAGTAACACATACCTTATCGCCAGTCAAGTGATAGTTTGTCAGTAGCCCACCGAGTACACGAATCGTAATCTCAAACAGGTTGACGTAGCGGTCCTTGTCAAAGCTGAGCTCCTTGTGGATCCATTCGGTGCCCTCTTTTACTTCTAAAAATAAAAGAATCCAAAAAAAATATAGCTATGATACCATTTTCTAGCCCCATAATAATCGCCGTGTCCAAAGAGTCGACGATCGTCAGCCCGGTGTCGAACCAGTCGGAATAGCCCTTTGACTGCGGCTTCAGCTGGTCGTGCCCCCACGCGTATCTGAAAAAACGTTAGCAAATCCCGCTAAAAATCATACTCTTTATAACCAGCCCATGCGTGCTTGAACGCCGCCGCCACGGCTTCTTGTCGTTCGTTTTTAGGGCCTAAAGCAATAACGTAGATAGACGCAAGTATTTTTTTACAATACCTGCAAATTTCGGGAACTTTTCTTGAGACAATTCTTCCGCCGCATCATGGGCTCCTATCGCGTTATCGTCAACACCGGCTAAATCTGGCACCTCGGCCGGTACTTCGTGAAGATTTTTCTAAACAAAAACAAGGTCTAGACCTTTCAAAACCTGCTAACCCGATTTATGTTGATCTCCTCGATTTCGTGCAGGTCAGCAGAAGAATGTTGGGCTGCGGGGAGTGGTGATCCAAACGAGTAAACGACGCCGAACAGGAACAAGATGAAAAACATCGGCAGCAGGGTCCGCTTCAACCGGGGCAGGCTCCGCCACATCTGAAAAAGGACTGTTTTGTAAGCCACAAAACCTAAGAAAAACCAAGAAAAAAGGCGCTAGAGAAAGGTACCAAGCGCTAGCGATTTGAATCTATAATAAAGCCCAGCAGTAGCCTAAAAATTGGATAGATTGGTAATTGCCGAATTGTTTTTTTTCTGATTATGTCGTCAGCAATCGTGAAAAGCATTGCTTTATCTCTAAGAAGTAAAAAAGACAATCGGCAGCACCATAAACAGTGAAAGGCCAGTCGATTGCCAGCAAGAACCGGTTCCTTCGACCGCGCCAAGGCGCTCGGGGTTGCCCCGCGGGCAGGGAAAGGTGTTGGATTTCAGCCAAAGGCGTTTTAAAAGAGGATGAACTGATGCGGAACGTTCGCTCGGTGCAAATTGTCAACAACAACAAGCTAAAAGAACGCTGGGGGGAAAACTCACGCGAAGAACCCGGGTGCTGATCCGGGCATTCTGCGCCTCGATGTCTCGATTAAAGTAGGGAAGCGCATCTGTCGGTCGCAGCAACCGCATCGGACGGCTTTCCGAGGTCACTAAATTTCGTTTCAATCAGTTGGCGGGATTTTTTCAGTTGAAACTAAGGCGAGGGGGTAGAGTAGATTTGGTTTTTATAAAATAGGTTTTAAAAAGATCGTTTGATGTTTTCAGCCTAAAAAAACTTCGATCCAGAATCACATTGAAAAACAATATGGTACCAAGAAACCAATAGACACTACGATATAAGCCTATTTACAGTTTCGACCGAATTTTTCGACTAAAGGTGTCAAGTGGAACAAGGTGATTTGCGGGTTTTTGCGTTTTGGACTTACTTTTTCATGTATTTTTTCGAGTTATGGCACCATCCGATTTTCGCTCTCCTGAATTCGATTTCGGACAACTGTTACTGGCTAGTTTCGACCAAGATTCCGGAATATCGACAAGGAAGCCCCTCCTTATCGGGCTGGCAACAGCGACTCCAACGGGATCTGGCACTGAACGAGTTTTCCTTTGCACGCCGCGCGAAACTCGGCCATTCAAAAAATGCAGATGTTTTGGGGGCGACGCTGGAGATTCCATTGATATTCCGTTCGGTTTCATTTTCGTTTCCACACGTTTTTTGTCCGCTCTAATTTTTAGCTTCAAATTCTAGCACAGCTCTGATGCCTCGCAGAAAGCAAGCCGAAGCCGTCGCCACGACCCCGCAGGTGTCGCGCGGAAGAATGACGAGGGCCCGGGCGAGGTTTGTTTTCTAAAGTTTACCTAATATCCAAGTTTAGGGCGATTTCGGAGAGTGATCAGCCCGAGGAAGTCTTCCAGACCCCGGAGACTGTCACCCGGAAGAGGGGCAAGAAGGCCAAGAAGCCGGCCACCCCGGTTGTGGCCCAGCCGACGGATGACTTTATGGATGAGGATGAGCCAGGTTGGATTTCCGAGTTGCTTTTAAATACTTTGCCTAGAAAACGTGCCACCCGTTCAACAGGCCGCTCACGCAGAATTCAACCCGGAGCCGGTGATCTCTGAAGACGAATATATGGATGCCGGTCAGTTTTTAGATGATTTTGATTATTATTTTCGATTTTAGATGAACCCAAGGACGAACGACTCTCTTCCGGCACTTTTGTGATCACCAGAGATGATGAGAAGGAAGAAAAAGCCCCGGCCACCCCGAAGGCTATATTCGATGATGAGGGCCAAGCGGCCACTTCACCAATCGCAGTCAGCCCAGTCAAGTCGCGCTCACGCAGCAGGGGCCCGCTGACGCCAGGTATATTATCAAATTTTTATCTTCAAAATCACATATTTTAGGCGAACGTTTCCGCAAGGATCACGAGAAGCTGGCCGCCAATATCGAGACGCTCGAGGAGCGCGCTGCACGGCTATCTGCTAAGCGACAGCAGCACAAGAAGGATACTGCCGGTACAGTCTTCGATCGTCTCTCCACTCCAAGGCAAAACCACGTGGCTGCCCTCAACGACGCCAAGGGGTAATTTAAAAAAATTATTACATTATTTTTTTGAAGATTCGATTTCGGCTCGGGAAAGAAGATTGACACCAACTTCGGCACTGGCAACCGAAAATTGCAATTTGAGGGCGTTGATGTTCCCAATAATGTAAGTGCTTGAGGATTCACAATTTTTATTTCTATTTAGGAAAAGCGAACGCCGTCGGGCAAGAAGGGCGTTGCTCAGGTCGACGTGAAGTCTCGCACCCGGCCCCAATCCACTCGTAAAGAGGATCGTAAGTTTTTTCTGATTACTGACAACCTTCTCTTTCTTAGAAGAAGCAGCGCGTTCCGCTGCCCGTCAGCAGGCCGTCGACAAGAAGCGCAACTTCACCCCAGCTAAACTGACCATGCCGACGACAAATCCGAACATCGAGCGTCTTGCCACTCCGAAGAGCGCTCTTCGCGCAGGTGGGAGTTCTCCGAAAATCATTAAAGGGATGCCGACGGCATCGTGAATCGGTTACGCGCCGGAAAGAAATTGTCTCTGCGCCTCTCCCCAGGGCGCGCTCTCTGCCTTGTTGGCTACGTGCCAATTTGTTGATGGGGCGGATCGACACATGCCGTCGGCAGCCCTTTAATGTTGTTGATAGGTGATTCTCGTCGTATGGCGAAGGAAAGCCGTGGCCGTGGCCCAATCACCAAGCATGCTCCAGGAGTGGTAAGCTATTTTTGGGAATCTTCTATTTTGAATTTAGGCCTTCGTTGACACCACACAGCTTTCCGACGTCCAATTCACCCGTGCCATCGAGCTCGGAATTTTGGTGAAGAAGGGTGCGGCAATCATCTTGTAAGTTTTTTTCATGATTTCAATTTGATGCTTTTTGGTATTGCCGACAATTTTTAATTTATATTTTAGTGAGGAGCCGATCTACACGGAACTGCTGGGCGCTGCCGGCACTCGGAAGGAAAAGACGGTGCTCACCGAGATCCGCAGCCGAATCATTGCCAAGTAAACGTATCCCCCTCGCATCCGATTGTCTTTCGTATTTATTTGAAACTGACGCCATTGATATCCCAGGCTTATTCACAACTCGTTAAAACGACATTTCCACTGATTTATTAGCACGCACACACGGATATTTGCGGTCAGCAATAAAATTATGCTCTTTGTATTAGTATTGTCGGAGGGTCAGGCTTCGGATGGAGTCTCTTCTAGCTCGATGCCCTAAAAACTTCCACAGTTTTCGAGAGGTGTCATCAACTCACGTGAGCAATCTTCTCGTCCAACATCCGGAAGAAGTCGGCTTGGCTGGCACTTTCCACTTCCCTGAAAGAATTTGGCTTGGAAATTTTCTTTTTTTTTCTTCAGCTAGTTGGGCGCCCTGCCGGGGACCATGGGGGCAATCTGAGGCAGGATAGGGTGCTCTCCGTTTTCTGCGGGCAGCCGCTCTTCGCCGCGCTTCCTAATTGACTTTTGAGCCGAGGGAGCATCGGGCATCCGTGGGCGTCTTTGGCCTCCTTTCGAGGGAGCTATGAACGAACGACCGGGTTGAGGGTCAGCTTTTAGGGGGGATGATCGTTTGAGTTGTTTTACGAGTAGAAATAAATTGTGAATGGTTTTTTTAGACACGTTAAAAGCTGGAAAATACCAGCAAACGCCGCAAAAATTTATCCGCTGAGCTTACGCGATCGGCTTCGTGCTGACGACACCGGGAACGATTCCATTTACGCCACGATCCGTCGGGTCCTTCCTGAAATGGCGTCCAATGATTTTTAGAGTTTTTTCAAAGTTTTAGCGAATTTTCGATCGTCAACGGTTTAAATTATGTAAATTAAGGGTTGTAAAAACCGACTTGGCCTCCTGGAGCGGCAGACTCTGCGGGGTGTCTCGCCTCGTCAGCACGCTGCTCCCGTTCGTCCGCTTCTCGCTGGTGGCAGCTTTGGCCGGGTGTAGGGCCGTGGTCGCCTGCGGGTCCTTCGCTGAAATCCAGATGTAATCAAGGATGCATAAATTTATTGGGCTTGATAAAGCTAGCCTTATTTTTGGAAATTATAACAGGATTTAAAGAGCAATAGCAAGAAACTCGGTTGAAGTTTGCTCAGCGAAACTAGTCAGTTTAACGAATACAAGCTAGTGGATTAAAGTATTAAAAACGTTCTACAAAATTTGTCGTTACTGGATTAAAAATTAAGCTAGATACATTGAAGGTCGCTTTACACATTTTTAAGCGGTTGTCCCCGTCAATCGCAGCTGCTCATCAGGTTTTTCCAGCAAAGTAAACAAAGAAAAGGGCTAAGCTTAACAGCGATTAAAACCTATCTATTTTCCATAGTAAAAGCAGGAATATTGACCAACCGTCGATCCTGTCTAGAGAATCTGTGCGCGAGAGTCGGCATCCCATATCATAATCCGGACATTAAACTGAAATATATTCTTTGTTAGAGAGAGAGAGAGAGAGAAAGGTAGAGAAAGCCAAAGATATACCAAGAAAATCCAAAGAAACGATCCTAGAAAAAATAGCAACATTTTCACAAAGAATCGGAAACGCCCGATTTCAACGCCTCCATCCGGGCCCCCTGCTAACGAAATTATTTTGAGGGGCGCCTGGCCACGAGGGTCTCGCAGCGAAGGGACCAGAAATGGAGCGAGGAAATATTTGCCAAATGCGGTGCAGAGCAACAGCAGAGTTGTATCGAAATCAATGGCGTGGCCAGTGAGTATTAGGCAACTGGGACCCACCAGGCTCCGGGCGTTTTTTTCTTCGGCCGGGGGTCCCTCCCAATTAGCCCGGGCTCTATCCGGTTCGGTTCTACGTCTATGTGTGTGTGCGCGTTTTTTTGGAGTATGTGTGGGGGTGTTGGATTGCTCGGACGGCTAAACGGGCGCGTTTTTTTAGAAAAAGCGTGTTGTTAATTGTAGTCCTAAATTTTCCACCAATTTTTAATGAGGTATCGCTCAAAACCGACCGGTCCAGATTACCTTTTTGAAAGGAATGCGCCTGAAAATACGTGTTTTAACAGCTCTAGACGTTTTTAGGCGTTCTAAGCGTGTTTTAGGTTTAGTCGGGGGCGTACGACAAAATATTACGCTTGGTAGCGCCAGTTGAAATTTAGTACTCGATTTAAAGGGTTGGACTTGCTACGGTCTTGCTAAAGTTAAATATATGATAAAAATATATAAATATATTTCCGGAAGATCTAACGCAACCGACACGTTCGACACTACCTGTCGTAATCGGTTACGGGCCGTGAAAAACGGTGAGGAGGGCGCGCGTCGCGTGTCGCGGGAAGAAAAAAATCGTAGGAATGCATATCCAAAAAATCCATGGCAATGACTTGCTCGATCCTTTAAAAAATCCACTTCTAAAATGCTAGTAAATCGCTTGAACTAATCGTAATAAAAAAATAACAGAATCTCGTCTCAAAATCAAAATTCAGATTTTGAAAACCCTATAGCAAAACGGAATTTTGATAAAAAAAGCCTCAGGCATTTTTCGAAAAACGAGCTTGAAAAGGATATTTCAAAGATACAAAGAAAGGCCTATCATAAAGTGAAAAAAAGCGCTCGAAAAAACCCATAAAATCCGTAAATCGCCTAAATTCCAAATTTCCAAAAAATTCGGGATGAATGTGGGCTTAGGAGCGTAGCGGAGCTGCATCCAACCAACCCCAGCCAGCCGTCCGGGCCCAGTTTTTGTGTGAAATGTTTGTGGAAGACTCGTGGTTGGGTGTCAGGAAGTGTTAGTCAAGCGACGGGGGGCAACTAGGAATAGAAGAGGGCTGGAGTCTCGAAATACCACCCCGCTGACCCCGAAAATAAATAGCGAAAAACATGACGACGTCCAAAATAACGCCAGTAAGTTTTGGACGTCTATTTCCGGTTAGCTAAGTTTAAGATTTCCGGGTAAACCTTTGTACGTAAGAGCTTCCGAAAGTTGCGCGGGCCGTTGCGTGTCGGAAATTTAAATCTCGGCGGCTGGGAGAGCAGATTGCAGAAAGAATTTCGGGGCTCCCTTGGGTAATTCCGGATTCTGAGTAGCTTGGCTACGGCGCGTCGGGGATGCACTTTTCCTGCAGTTTTTGGAAACGCTTCAGATGCAATAGAAAGCGGCAGTCAGCTCAATACGGAAAAACCTCGGGGAAAAGCCTATGTTTGGAAGCAATTAAAACCGGAAATAACTTTGAAAAAACAGGCACGGATAAATTGATAAAATTAGAGGCAGATAGCGAAAGCTGAATAGATGGATTAAGAATGCGGGATAGAGTGAGAGCACGAGAGAGAAAGAGAGAGAACGCGAGCGTGAGTGAGGGAGAGCATGAGGGGAGAGGGAGAGAGAGAGCGAGCATGAGAGAGCATGGTTTCTAAAAAATGGGGAACGAGATCGTTAGAGAAAGAACTAGCTAATTTCGCCAGGCATTGATTGCCAAAATGATTTGAATAAATAGCTTTAAATTGAAATGAATCCCTAGAAAGACACCTTTAAAAACGCATGAATTTCAATATAGGGAATTTCTTGTTGAATCGAACTTCCAAAGCTCAAAAACCTACCAGAAGAAAACGGTTTTTTGAACAAGTGCGGGCTGAAATTTAACGAATTTAATAAACACTAATATGAAGCTGTAACATTGCTCTATCTCGTGCCCTATCGGGGCCAACAGCTGGGGCAACGTGTTTTTGACAACCAGAGCCCTAGGTATCGCTCCGTGTTTGCTTTCACTTGAAGGACATGTTTGCAGACAATTTTAGCCCCTACTCTACCCCCATTCAGATAGCGCAAATTTTATGCGCACACTTTTCAGCGAGGTATTGTTGCCTATTTTGCGAATTTTATTGTTAGCAGCAGATGATGTAGTTTCTGATCTTGGAAGTTGCACCCCCGCTAAATTGAATTTATATAAATTCACGCCTTAAAGCTATCAAGCTCCGAAAAATTAAGTCCAACCTTTTACCCAAAACTTCCAGAATACGCCTAATTCCATCCGGGTAGTACGCTTTGGCATAACAGCTGCAAATTGCCTGTTTTGCCGCAACGAAATTGGGGGCTCACCGAGGGCCACGGGTTAATCTCAAAATAGCCGGCGGAACGCCCGAAAATGGAGTGGTATGCGCTGTTTTGTTGGGTGTTGCGCTTTTCGGACGTGGCTTTCGGGAAGGAAATTGGAGTCAGGTGAGCGATTACGGTAAAAGGGGTAGGAGCCGGAAATTAGACCGAGTTGCAGAACTAGTTGAATGGGTGCTCAAATTTACAAACGGGTTATCAACATGATCGAAAAATTTTAGAAACCGATACTTCTGTTTTTCGACAAGAAGGCGAGAGAGTGAGAGTGAGAGAGAGAGCGAGAGGGTGAGAGAGAAAGAGGACGAAAACGAGATACGACTAAAAATACCATAAAAACAAATAAAAATGAAAAAAATGTAGGAGAGAGAGAGGGAGAGAATGAGAGAGAGAGAGAGAGAGAGAGTGGGAGAGAGAGAGAGAGAGCGGGAGAGAGAGCGGATAAAAGCTAGAGAAAGCGCGAGATAACGACAGAAACGATAAGGGAAAAAGCTATAAGGCTAGAAAAGGTGGGGGGAAAAGTCTGGTAGCATGACAATGCCATAGAAGGCCAGTGAAGCGAGGGAGCGAGAGATTTCGAAAGAGTGAAAGAAGCTAGATGTGGCAAATTTCACACACCGGCCCAAGGCTGGTAAGGCATATAACCCTCAAAATGGGGCCAAACGCGGGCCCCTCATGCCCAAACAACCAACCAAAATAAATCCATCGTTTTGGGTAGAGAGGAATGCCAGGCGAGCCGGGCTTCTACGGCCTTTGAGTTCTTCAACCCGCAAAAGTGAAATGACGCCCAAAAAAGGAGGGAAAAGCCGAGGCAGGGGACACAAGGGGGGGGATCCACTTGTCTCATGGCCCCTCCCGCTTTTCGGAAAAGCTCGAGGCAGACGAAGAGCCGCTCTAGAAAAAAGGCAGAAGACGACGAATGCCTCGCTTCTGAAGACCTCCCCCCAAAAAATTCTATGCGTTTCGCTGGGGCGCGCGAAAAAAAACCCGCAAAATATCCCTGGCGTTTTTCGACCAAAACAATTTTAGGAAGGGAAATGGGGCGTGGGAGGAGGAAGTGCTCGTCTTCAAGGAGGCCTTTTTCTTCTTTTTTTTTGGCAATTCTTGGTGTAGTTTAGGAAAGGGCAGTGTTAGGACACGCCAAAAAACAGCACGTACCAACCATCAAAGGCGCTCAGTTTTTTTCTTTGCCTCTATTGTCTATACCCTGCCCTCCTTTCCTTGTTACAAAGTCGTTCGAGGCCTTTTGAAGCGGTACAAAGGCGAAAGGTCCTGCCGAGTAGGTATCGACAATTACGCAAACATCCAAGTCCAAGTGTACGCGGATTTGGACTCTGAGCGGATCTTGGAGCAAGCGGGACAACAAGCACGGGACAGCAAGCGGGCTTGTCGAGACCTAGTGGGTAGGGAAGGGTCATTTCGGGCGCTTCCTGGTTTCTTTAATAGACTTTTAGAGCGCTTTAACGGAATCGAATCTCCGGAGACCTAAAAACTTTGAAAGTTTTTAAGGGATGGTGACAAATTTTATATTTTGAGCACCAAAATTAAGTCATGATGTTTGACATGCTTTTTTTTATACATTTCCGCACCAGTAATTTTCACTTTTTTTCAGTTTCAAGCGAAAAAATTCTCCGAATTTGAAAATTTTGAAACTACTGGATTTTAACAGGCAGTTTGTTGAATTCTCAGACGTTCCAAAAATCTTTCTTTTTTTTTGTGATACGCACAGGGTACTTTAGGGATTTTTTATAAATATAGGACAGCAAAATGATTTAGAAAGAGCTTATATAGGTCCGTTGAAGGAGACCGATCCAAATTATTCGTAATTCGTAAAAATCTGACCCCAATTTGCGCAAAAATGTTCCTTAATTTGGTGCAAGGCGACGAACAGAAGCCCTCGTCGTCTTGAACTCCTCTTCTTTTTTGGGTTTTCCGATGGACCAGCAGGAGAGAGTAGAGAAATAAAGAGAGAGAGAGAGAGAGAGAGAGAGAGAGAGAGAGAGATAGAGCGAGAGAGAGAGAGAGAGTGGGAGAAAGAAAGAAAGAGAGAATGAGGGACAAATTGCATTAGGGCACCGCCAGGGGGATGAACGGCCCGCGAAGATGAATGGATGGGGGAGCGGTGGTTGGTTGGTTAGGCGGAAAAAGTGAGCGACGATGAGCCTTTGTTGGGATGGCGGATGACGAGGTGTCCCAACGGAGCGTTTTTTTTTTGAAAAGGAAGTGCTTCTAGCGGAATTTTTTTGAAAGATCCGGCACCACGAAATGCAGAAGTCAAATTTGCTGATTTCGAGGATCGAAGAGCGGGATTTAGAAAGGGAAAGTTTAGGATTTGATTTGAATAC